CCAAGTGGCGCCTCTGATATGTTTTTTCTGTCTTTCCACGTGATCAGAACAGACATTTTCATTATTTATGAGATATTGACAAGGCGTAACGGTTGTGCTAAATAACGTTATTTTTTCATTTTTTTCATTGAAACCAAGTAGCGTCTCTGATGTGTCTTTTCCATATAATCAATAGAGAATAGTCCATTATTTATAAAATATTGGCAGGGTGCATTTGTTGTGCTAAGGTAGGGACAAGCAAAATCATAATAAGATAACTGTTGAACATATCCTTCATAAAGATAGAGTTAATTTCCTCTGTTCCTCTTTCCCTCAATCTGTCCTGTGAGTATCAGATTTTCCAAGCCCTCCTTCCTCATTATGTACCCCAGAAATTGCAACTGTCTCTTCCTGTTGTCAAGTTTCCTTTTTGTTTCTATTTTCTTTAAAACCTTATTGTTGCTTACATATTCGGTTCATGGTATCCTCAGTATCTTTCTGTAGAACTACATTTCTGTTGCTTCAAGACTCTTCTTCATCTTTGAGGAGATTTCCCGGCATTCCCTGCCATGTAGAAGGACAAATATCATGTAACAGTTCAATACTCTTTTTCTTTGTTTCTAACAAAGTTTTTTTCTCCTGTTTCTTAATACTCTGCTTAGCCAAAGATGAATCCCAAAAGCTATCTCAATGTGCCTTTGGATTTCAATGTCGCACTTTCCGCCTTCTGTTAGAACATTTGCTAATTAACTAAGAAAATAGATTACACTTGTAGTGATAGTGTTACCGATATTGTAACTTTGGCTAGGAAAGGTGGGATTAAGGACCATGCGTGGACGCAATGCAATTTATATTTGACGTAAATAGCACATAGTATAAAATACAAAACTGAACGGAATGATTTCAAAACATAACAATTGAATTTATTAATATTTGATATACATGCATGCGAACTGAAAAGGTAGGACAGAGTCGTGTCCCTTTGATTAGGTAATAGTTGTACCTGAGTTCATATTAAGAGGAAGTAATATTAAACTGTAATTTAGAAGAATAAAGTTTCTTTAGCGTGTTTGGAATTGTGAGTTGTAAGGTTGGTAAAAGTTCAGAAGAGATTTCAGAGTTTGTACTTGCGTGAATGTTGGTAATGGTCTTTAACGTCTGACCGCAATGTCTAAGACAGGAGTTCTTGAAGATTACATCTTGGTACTTGGTAGCAAGAAATGAGACGCGCGCGAGAGAGATGAATGAAAAGAAACTACTCCAGGGAGCTTACACGTCTTCTGTTTATACAATGGTCGTGTACCACGTGGGAGGCTCCAAGCATATTGAGCGGGAAAACAGATTGGTCGCGTGCAGGCGGTTTGATTGGTCGGAACTGACCAATCAGCAAGCTAGATTGAAGGTGATTGACCAATGAATACTGTTATAGACAAGCGTATGGTTGCAAGAAAGAAATACGAGAACAGTAGAAATAGATTTACGTGGTTTATTTCAACAGGAACGAGAGGGTTTGGGACAGCTACCTTGTGGTAAAGTTCGGCTTTCGGATCTGGTCGATTCTAGTAGTTCACACATGTTGACGGTGGTTGACGCTCCCCTGCTGCTGATCGCTCGGCCTGACCGTCAGGTCTGACTGACTGTTGACTGACTGTTGAACTTCCGTGTGACCCCTTTATAGCGATTTTTATGGCTTAACAGGCTCGAGAAATGAAGCTAGTATAATTAGGAAGGAAGCATTTTTATTGGACGAAAAATAGAGCACTTTAAATATTATTTTATTTTTTCGACCGGAACACGTGTCGGGGAACATTTGTAAAGAAAGATAATGGTCATTTTGTGACGGGGCTTTGTCCCGTTCACATCCGGTTCTCGCTCTTGAGTATTTGCCTGTAAATCAGCCGAGATATGTCTTATTTTATTTTATAACAATACTTGTTATATATTTGTAAGATTGTGATGGTGAAAATTATAACAGGAATAGTGCATTTCCTAGCAGGGGTTAACTAGCTTGTTGTGGAAGAGTCCACACACTTTTAAATTTTTTGTACTTGTTTGATTTTTGTATCTCTGATTTGCAATTTGTATTTCGGGCTCACTCTTTTGCTGATAACCATGCATTCTGTGTTCTTGCAGTTTGTGTTTTATAAAAATGTTGCTTTCCTACTGACTTTAAGTTATTGTGCCAGACACAAAACTTTGTTGGTAGAAACAGCAACTCTTGAAAATAGGCGCAATTTAAAAAAAAAAGAAAAGACAACCACTGCATAAAATTTTAAAAGGAACACATTTATTTACTATTATTACAAATTTGAAAAGTACAAAACAAGGGTTGCACAAAGATGTCCTTTTGTGTGCTTCTTTGGACAGGATAACACTTTCCTGGGGTAACGAAAAAGAGATTACTTACAGAAACAAGAAAAATAATATTTTGTAGCGGTATTGACGGCCTAAATCAATCCGTACATTTTTACTTTACGAATGTGTAAGCAAACGCAAAAGCAAGAAGAGAAGCAAGAAGAGAAGCAACAAGAAGGGACACAAAACGGTTTTTATAACAAACAAGCATATGGGTTATTTCCCTTTGATTGGAATTACAGTTTACGAATGAAATATTTTTATGTGAGCTCATAAAAAATTGAATGAACTTGCCGCTCAAAATGTTCACTATGAGAATGTGTTTGGTAAAATGGAACTTTGAATATTTACTTGATATTTCAAGAAGTTTCTGTTTGGTACTAAATAAAATTTAGTTTTTGTACTTCTGAAAATAATTACAATAAATCTTGCCACTAAATGAAAATGTTCACCAAAGAACAAATTCCGTTGAACAGAACTGAATGAGAAAGTTTCTTGAATTGTGTCCTGAAAAGCTGAAAATATGTTCGTTAAACTTGTAGCTTCAGATGAACTTTTATAAAGTAATTTCTTGCTGGTGAAGAATTGGAAAAAACTGTAATATCAAAGTTAATTTTTTTTAGCGTGGCAGCGATGTGTCTGGTTGACTTTTCTTTTGCCTCACTGTGAAAGAGTGTTTGTTCGTATATGTGGAGATTTACTTTTTGCTTCAGAAGGGTTGAAGGAGTGAATATTCCGTAATGTTTGTAATTAAATTTCCGTGCGTACGTATATGTCTGCGTGTGTGAATCTGTTTTCATAGCGTCCGCCCGAACCGGGGTCGGAACGCGATTTCTTTAACAGCTACATTTTAGCAGTGAGAGAAATCAAGAGAAAGAACGAACTTGTGTCTGGTATTTATAATCAACGTAATCATTTGATCGCCTCCTGGAAGTCATAGACAGGAATTTGGCGGAATGTTTTTTTTTAGTCAGGTCAAGAACTAGGTTATTCGGACGTAGTTGAGAACATGATTTTAATATTAACTGACCAATTAGAAGTGATAAAAATATCAAGGCTTTGTGATTCACTTTTTGCACAAAAATTGACATTGATAAAAAAAAGTGGTAGCAGAATGCTAAGATTTCACAATTAGTTTAAGAAACGGATTCACGTACATAAATTATTCCTTTCAAAAATAGAAAAAATTGGGAAAAAACTTGGAGAAAGGATGGCACAAGGCAGAAAATTTTCAAATAGCACCCGTCTCTGTTATGCAGAAACAGGATGTCTCAGCTCGGAGGAGTTTTAAAGTTCACTTGTTTGTTCTTCAATGTGAAATCTTCAATTGTAAGAATCTGCCTTGTATCTGTCAGGTCAGATTTTTTTTTTACCTTCGACTGGACTTTACTTTGAAGTGCTTAGTCCGTTCTTGCCAACAGCACATCCTTGTCTCCTATCTGTTGTTCTCCTCAATGAATCTGCTTCAGCCCTCTGCGCCTTCCTCTAAATCGCTGATAGCAGTCCTTTTTATTGAAAAAGTGACCGTGATATCGACTTCAGCCAAAATTAGACATTGGTCAGCAAACTTTTTTCTCATTGGCCAATATATTGTTCAATTTAAGTAGAATATTCTGTAACCATGGAAACGTGATTTTAGCTGTGTCTTTAAAACCCGGTAATTTTTAAAAGTTACTCCAAAATTCGCTTGAAGATGAAATGGAACTAATGCTTTTAATTTAATTGCAAAATTAAATTCGGGGTTTTTAGATTCTATTTTTGAAACATGGTTGGAACTGTGTAGCGAAAAAAAACATATTTTAAATCAATTAATTTATAATATTAATGCTCTGTAAATTTACATTGAGCACTATTTTGTAAAAATAAAAATATCTATAAGAACACCGGATTTAATATCTTACTGTTCTTTTTTATATTTATATATATATATATATATATATATATATATATATATATAAAACCCTCCCAACTATTCAAAAAAAAAAAAAAAAATCCCAAACATTTTAAACAATTTTTATGGTTAATCACCTGAGACTGAAAGGCCATAAAATGTACAAAATTTAACTAACACATAAACCGTCTAGTAATTTTGAAGATTTACTTTTCTCAAAATGTGTATAAAAAAGACAACCTAGAGGATTATATATTGATCTTTAACATTTTTTACCAATGACAAAATAAAATTTTTATGCTTTTTAGTTGTTTCATCTCGCTTTTAAGTTTTTTTAAGTCTTTTTGGTGCATGCCTATTTTAAAATTAAAAAAAAAAAATCAGCCTTTCTATGGTGCACACTCAGCTTTAAATAAATAGTAAAATCTTTATATGCATTTGGAGATATTTGTAAATTTTAAATAATTTGCCAGTTTTAATGAATGACACATGGTGAAGTCATTCTGGTGGAATTAATTTACAGCGAGACTAAATTAGGGTGTTTTGTGATATAATATCGAACTAGGTTTCGTACTTAAAACACCGCTCTTTAATACTTTCCTTTGCAATTTCTAAACAATCTTCTTTTTAAAACTATTTCTAAAATTATTAACAAAATGTTTAATTAATATTTAAAAAATAAATTATTTCAGTTTTCTTTATTTTTTGCTTAAATACGAAACTAAAAGATCTAGCCTCGTTCTTTTTGTGACAAGTGTCGGTTTTCAACGAAACGATGCAGAAATACGAAAAATTGGAAAAAATTGGTGAAGGTTTGTGTTTAAAAAAAAAATTGGTGTTTATTTTGTTTTAAATAATATTTGGCTTTTTATTTGTTTTTAATTTTATTTTTGGAATTTTTTGTTTTATCATTTGCTAATTAAATAAAAAAATACTTTTTGAAAAGCGAATGGAAAAAAATTACCTGATCAATTTTTATTTTTATAATTAAAAAAAAATTCATTTTCTTTTCTTAATTTAATTGAACATCGTTATTATTTTTAACGGAGATAAATATGAAATTTTATGATGAAAAAGAAAGCAACTCTGCTTTCTTTAATTTTTTTTTTTTTAAAATGTTAACGTTATTTGACTTGACAGACACGATTTTTGCGTGCAAAAAAAAAAACAACAAACAAACAAACTTGTCTACCTGTTAAAGTCTTATTCTTAATCTTATGTATTATGTTTCCAGTTCCTTTAAATTTCTTGAACTGGCCTCATATCTTGAGCCCTCGGGAGATAATAATTCAGTGTTTGTTATGTAGAAATAAATCGTTTATATTAACGAAATAAAACGAAAAATATATCTGTCTATATTTCTTAGATTGTACATTTATTGTTCGGAGTGCTGTCTTCTCTTTATTGTCATATTCCCGACGTTTCGGTCGTTGTACGCTCCGTCTAGCCTTTTTCAGGTGATTGGAATTTCGAACTGAAGTCGGCCAAGCATAGAACTGAATACGATATAGGAACTAGAGACGGAATGCTAGAAAAAAAAAATAATAACAACAAAAATTGCAATGTGAGCTCTGGTAAAAAAATGAATACTGAGACATTTAAGTTTATAAATCCCATACACTGATGTCCTCAAGGACACATTGGATCCAATGACTTGACCCAAAGAATTATGAGTCCAATACTTGTTTTATATGTAGAAATAAATTGTTTGTATTATTAACATGAAATAAAACGAAAACTATATCTGTTTACATTCATGTCGATGGTGAGCAAAAACTTGGAGATTTGAGTTAAAGGGAGATAACTGAGACATTCGGAAGAGGCATGGCACGTGGAACTAGAACAATCTAACCTGGTGGACAAAAATAAAGGGTTCAGTTTGAAATCCAATCATCTGAAGAAGGCCGGTGCATACAATGGCTAAAACATTGTGAACATGACAATAAAGATGAGGACAACAGTCCAAACACTGTAAATAATTACATAAACTTTCATATCAAGCTAAGAAACCAAGAACTGGTTATAGCCAAAATTTATATTCAATCTTTTATGAAGAAATGTGGATAGGCCAGAATGTTCCTACAAATCAAAACAAAGTGACTTTTTTTTTTCCTGTGTCTGTTAGTTTATGAAACGTCATGACATAAAAATGAAAAATAATGCCAAGGTACCAAAAAAGGTGGTTTTAGCAAAAAGTTTATTCCCATTCGATGAATTAAAAAAATGTAAGGATGTGTGACAAATGGAATTAGCAGGCCGAAGTTCAAATTCTGGCTTTGTCTATTATGTTCACTTTCGCACTGATGCCATTAGGAAAGACATAAAGCCTTCTCTTCTCTTTACCAGCTATGGATTAAAAATAGCAATGTATATTGAGCCCTCCAGTCTTGGGGGATAACTAGCTGAAGTGAAGGAAAGGTGAATTCCAAATTGAAGAAAACAACAGGGAACCACTTCACTTTCTCAAGAAGTTATGTCAATTCACAGATAATAAAGAAAATGAATCTGTGGAAAGTCATGATTGCTTACATCCTGAAAGTGTTGTATAGCCTCCTTGTGCTAGGGAGGTTTTGGGTGACGGTATCAATTCAATAATAATGTTGCATTCTTCTCTCTCAGCTGGTGATTTTTTTGAGTCCAGATATTTCGTTCCCCCTCCACTAGGGAGCTGTTCCAGAGATGAAAGAAAACACATTTACATTATTTGATGGTTAAGAAACAATTCACGGAAAAACCTTTTTCTATTTATCATTCCCAAACTGGCTCAGCCAATCAAAATCAACTACTTTGTTTTGTCTTCCATCTGAATCAAAGGTCAACCTCAGGAAGTCCAAACAGAGATACCATTCCCCCTAAATGTAATAGTCTGTTAAACTATTATTTAACAAAAATCAAAGCACTATTAAAAAAAAAAAAACCCAAAAAAACAGAAAAATAATAATGAAAATAAGAAATGTATGTGGAAAGCCCAAAAAGGGAAAACATTCCTACATGTGTTTGGGAGCTAATGAGCCGTAAATATAAATTAAAATTCAGGTGATATATATCTTTACAGGTATTGCCTTGATTGAAATCTATCTGTTCATTATGGTTCATCTGTCAGTTATGTGCCATGTGTGATACATGCTTAGGTGATCATGTATCTTTCAATATATGACTGACTGGGCAGATTTTTTCCCACAGTAGGTTGCCATTTCTTCCTGCAGTAGACCAGTTGCCATACAAGGCTATAGAACCCAGTCTGTCCTGCTATTTACCCACCGGGAGGGGGGTGGAAAGAAGAGGGTTCATACCTTTTCCAAGGGTATTAGCACGTAAGTGAATGTAATGGATTTCACTGGAATATGAACTCGGGCCCTCTGATTCCTCACTGTGAGCCGCTATCCATTTGTTTCGTTTTATAACTTTTCCAAATACAAAAACAAGCTTAGAATATGAAGCTAGTTAGAAAAAATTAAGTGAATGGTAAAAGGAGTACATAAGTTATTTATACTATTTACATACAGACTATTTTCCCCATCTTTGTTGTTGTTATCACAACATTTTTGGCTGTTGTGCCCTCTGACCTTCATCAGGTGATGTTGATCCAGATAACCTACAGGGAATTCTGAATTAAACTCTTTAATTAATTTCCAGGGAGAGACTGTTCTCATTCCACTACCCATGTCTAGGGGTATCTTGTCTGGTACTTATTTTTAGTACTGCTCAGTTATTGCTCACCCTGTTACCACTGACTGCCTGACCCAGGGACTGAACCTAATTAACAAACCAATAATCCTCTAGGTTATTGTCCTGTGGCAATTTGTATTTACATTATAGCTTGGGAGAAAATAGGAAATAAGATAAAGATTTTAGAATCAGTAATAAGTATTTACATGTTATGATGGTGAAGTGGCCATCTTGATATCAAAGATATTAATGCATCAGTTTATTGGCAAGATTAAATGGAAGTATAATATATAGTATGATATGTTAGCTACAGGGTTTGTAGTTTTACCTTATAGTTGGTAAGTAACTTCAAAGTACTTCTGTCAGTTGTTTTGTGTTACCAGTATTACCTTTTGATGTATATCTGTATTTAAGGACTTCATATGGCTCCTGCAAAGAGATGAGAAACTAGATTTTAGCAATAGGTTATTCTCATTGGTTAGAAAATGTTTTGCGGTTTTTCAATAAATTTGGTTTGTTTATGCCTCTCCAAAATTGAGGCACCTAAACAAAACTGAATTTGTCATTTATTAACTGCAGCGTAACAAATGTAACCATTGTAACTTGATTACTTTTAATTAGTGGAGGTGCTGATATGGGCGTTCTGAGGTAAAAAGAGTCATCAACAGCAGATATCTCTGTGTTTCCCAGCTGTGTGTTTTTTATTCATGTTGATAAACAGATGATAGTTAAATCAAGAGAATAGGGAGTGTAATCAACCAGTTCAAAGCCACATTCATGCACAGAAGCCATTGAAACCAAGGATGTGTGCTGGAGCATTTTCTTGATGAAACATGACCTCTTTTTTGGGTTTTCCTGGGTGTTTAGTCTTTGGTCATTATCTTATCTCAGCTAGGCTTACTTTGTAAATAAAGAGTGTCGACATTGGACTTACCATCTTATGTGCTTAGGCAGTTGTAGCAGAAAGGATAATTATCCATAGTTAATTTTTAAAAATTATAACTATTACTATTTTGATCGCAACAAGCATCAATATTTTTTCTCATTCTTTTTTTCTGTTATTTATTCTTGTTTATTTCTTCACTAAAATTTTTTTCGAAATTTGATATTTTTATTTCTAAAATTTTTTTTTTTTCTTGTAGCATTTTTAGCTTTATTGATACTGGCAAAATAAACACTTTGGATGATATTGCTTTTATTATATTTCATTTCAGTTCCTATAGATTTGAATGATATTAAAGTTAATCTTATTGCCTGTTCCCCACATGCTGGTGCTTTTCATAAAAAAAAAAACAATTTGCCAATTTTACCAAAACTCATAATGCAATTTTGTTTTTTCTTTTTAGGTACCTATGGAACAGTGTACAAAGCAAAAAACAGAGATTCTCATGAAATTGTTGCATTAAAACGGGTGAGGCTGGATGATGACGATGAGGTGAGAAAAATGTATTTATACTCGAGTAAAATTGGATGAAAATCTGACAGAGTTCTAAATATATTAGACAATTTGGAAAAGCTTCTATTTAGGCATGTTGTGCTGATGAACTGGCATGATTATCAGAAAGAATTTTATTTCAACAAAATCTACTTTAGTGAGCTGGAATGGGATTTGTGCTAAGCAAATTAGTTATAATCTAATGTCTATAAATTATATTTTATAAATTAGTTATAATCTAATTTCTATCCATTATCTTCTATAAATTAGTTATAATCTGATTTCTATAAATTATTTATAATTCAATTTCTATAATGATATAGTTGAAGTAAAAATCAATCATCTAGCTGCTTAACATGAATCATGTTCTGTCTTGATAATGGTAATTTTGTTGAAGTAACATTCTTTTTCTTATGATACTGATCCAGCATTGAAAGGTATGAATCCATCCCCACCTTTTTTGTATCAGAAAAAAATCACTGTTATTCTCAGAAAAATTGTTAATACAATATTCTCTCATGAAAGGAGAATTATTCTGACAATTCCAAAGACTTGATAAAGTGAAAAAAAAAATCAATCCATTGCATCAACTCAGTCCATTTGTGAAACATGTTGAAATAGAAGTTTACCAAATTAATCCAGGTCCTGTCACAACAAAAAAATCACAGCTATGTATGTATGTACGTTCTAATAAAAAAATACTACTATTACTACTACGGGATCTTTATGTAGTGTAACATATATTATTTACATTGTTCAGACTGTTGTCCTCATCTTTATTTCCATATTCACAATGTTTTGGTTGTTGTATGCTTCAGTTGATTGGAATTTCAAACTGAACTTTTTATTTCATCCACCAGGGTAGATTGTTCTAGTTCCACATGCCATGCCTCTTCCTGATGTCGCAATTATTTCCCTTTAACTCTCCAAGTTTTTGTTCACCACTGCAGTAACCATGTATTGAACTCGCAATTCTTTGGGTCAAGTCAGTGGATCCAATGTAGAATGGCCAAAATGCTGTGAATATGGCAAGAAAGATGAGGACAACAGTCTGAACAATGTAAATAATGTAAATAATTACAATACCTCATCTCGGAAATATAGACAAATATATATTATGTAGTGTAACATATATTGGTGTGAGAAGTGCATTTTGCAAGATCACTTTTCTCTTGTCATTAAATAATGTAAATTACCATATATTATTTCTGTCTGAATTTCTGGGATGAGGAGTTATTATTATTTACACTATTTATATTCAGTCTATTGTCCTCATTTTTGTTGTTGCTATCATAACGTTTCGGCTGTTTTGCCCTTCAGCTTTCTTCAGGTGCATATTGATCCAGGTAACCTACAGGGAATCCTGAACCCTTTATTTAATCTGTGGAAGTAAACTGTTCTTGTCCCTCTTCCCAGAGATCAAGGGATATCATCTAGTTCTTATTATTACTGTTCATTTATTGTTTCCACTGTGTTCAAGTACACACTACCTGATTCAGATATTGAACTCACCACCAGTGTTATCAAATTCACAAACCAACACTTGAATCCATGAGGCAATAAATGGTTCAGTTAAGAATTCCCTGTTGCATACCCAGATCAATATACATCTGAGGAAGGCCAGAAGACACAACAGCTGAAACGTGATAACAACAACAAAGATGAGGACAATAATCCAAATATAAATAGTGTAAATAAGAGATTATTGTTTTTTATTTGGTTCATAGTTTTCTAGCCAAAATCTCTTTTTCTTTCCATCACTTAGTTATGTTAGTAGGTATCCCACAGGTGATAATAGAATATTTGCCAAGAATGATGAAAGGTTGTAAGAGCCAGGATGTAAATTTATTGTAGATGACCTTGTGATCAATTTGAGTCTGGGATCTTACAACATTTCATCATTCCTGCCAGATATTCTATTATCTCAGTGTGGGATATGTACTAATAAAAGTGATGGAAAGAAAAAGAAAAAGACTCTAAATTAAATTGGCTACATATAAAAAAGAAAAAAAATATTCTAAAATTCCCAGCATCCCTTGTTCATGCACATGTGTAGTCACACCAACATAACAAATTCAGTCTGATGGAGTCCTGAAGGATGAAACACATTACAAGAAAAACTTTCTCCACTTCATCATATAATTTCTCTCTCTCTCTCTCTCTCTCTATATATATATATATATATATATATATATATATATATATATATTCTAATGAAAAGAAAGAACAGTAAGATATATAATCCAGTGTTCTTAATTGATATTTTTATTTTATTTTTTCATATTTTATATATATATATATATATATATATATATATATATATATATATAATTAATTGATTTAAAATGTTTTTTTTTTGCTACACAGTTCTAACCATGTTTCAAAAATGGAAGCTGAAAGCTCTGAATTTAATTTTGTAATTAAATTAAAGACATTAGTTCCATTTCATCCTCAAGCGAATTTGGGAGTAACTTTTAAAATTACTGGGTTTTAAAATTCGCTTGAGGAATCTGTGTAGCGAAAAAAAAACATTTTAAATCAATTAATTTATAATATTAATGCTCTGTATTTTGTAAAAATAAAAATATCTATAAGAACACCAGATTATATATCTTACTGTTCTTTCTTTATATTTATATATATATATATATATATATATATGTCATCCAAAGACAGACTGTTTTGCTGTATCACAGCTCATCAGTGTGGATAGACATCTGATTGCCATGATCAAAACCCCACTGATTTGACATCAGTCGGAGATTTTTCCCCTAACCTACCAGCTCCCAGCAGAGAGGAAGGTGAATTTTTATGTATTTATTTTTGAATAAACACGCCAGTGGCTCTGAGTGCTCGATCCATAAAAGTGCTTTGCATTATCATCTGTTTACAAATTCACTCTTTCCCTCTAAAGTGTTTCATCAAATTTTATTTTTGGGGTATATATATATATATATATATATATATATATATATATATATATATATATATATATATATATATATAAAGTAAAATAAAAATATCAATTATAAAGTGATTTTTTAAAATAAAATTTACAATGTAGATTAAATTGGCTAGATATAAAAAATAATTTTCTACTTTGTCATACAATTCCTCCAATATTGTTATTGGCATATAAAAAATTCTTATATATATATATATATATATATATATATATATATATATATATATATATTATTTTTTTCATTTTCAGGGTGTTCCAAGTTCTGCTCTCAGAGAAATATGCCTCTTGAAAGAACTTAAGCATAAGAATATTGTTCGGTATATTTTCATTTTTTATACTCATATTTTGCTTTGTCTTTTCCACCTGTAATGATAGTAATTTATTACATTTGTCTTGCTTTTACCACATTTACTAAATTTATTTAATTCACTAAATTTGTTTTACAATGCTGTTTACTTTCTGAAAACTTTAGTGTAGAAATGAGTTTTAGTGGCAAAGAAAGCTTAAATATTGGCAGAAAAATTTGTCTGGAATTATTTCCTTTAGAAAAAAACAGAAAATTCCTCTTTTTCTAAACATAATATTGACCTTCATTATGATTTGTGGTGTTAAAAGATTACTAGTTTGATATTTAGGTAACGTTTAACACATCAGTCACTTTCTGTTATAACTCACACCTAACGATTATAATATTATGTCTTTTGCTTAGGCAATTTGTTATGTCATTAGAATTCTTTCCAGCTGACTCATATTTATCAGCCTCTCCACAAGGCAGGATTTTTATGCGGGGCGAATCCGAGCCTGTAGACTTGGGCAAAAATTATTACCTGTAGACCCTGCATACATGGGTTTGGGTTTGACTACCTCTCTAGACAACACTCTGCTTGTAAGCATAGCCTTGTCTGGGTTCCTCTCTAACCAAAGGCAGAGAGTTTGACAAGTCAGCCGCAAGCCTGGCAGTGAACTGTTTTACTCCAACGGACTTCTCTTGACTCACTTTGTGTTCTTCATTTAAGGTGTCTTGCCTACTTCATTTGTGATACTGGAGGTGTCTTATTTACTCCACAACACTTTCTCACCAACATAGTGTGGCTTCCCTCTGTCTTTTCTACAAATATTTTCATGGCAACTGCTCTGATGAGCTATTTTCACTGGTGCCCAACTTACATGAATTTAAGTGTGCTACTAGATTGGCATTTAGGTCCCACCCGTTTAAATAGTTAAATGTAACTGCCACTTCTACTCCAACAGTTTCTTTTCTCGTACTTCCTGCCTGTGGAACTCCCTTCTATTTACTTGCTTCCCTGATAACTAAAATCTTCACAAATTTAAATGCAACATCAATCGGCATCTTCTATCTTCTTGAATCCCATTCATCTTTTGTCCTTTCTTCAATCCTTTCCATGCTCAGTTTTCTCTTTCAAATTTTCACTCCCTGTAGCTCTCTGCATACTAGTGGCATTCCTGCTTTGTTTAAGGTGAAATGATTAAAAAAAAATGTACCTGCCAAAAAAAAATGTGTGACAAAAGGCCGTTTTTTTCTCTCTTGACACCACTATTAATGTAGAATTCCTCTGCAATTTTTATTGTTCTAAAGTTATTTTTAGAATTTTAATAAAACGATAACACATAAAATTTAATTTATGCTTTCTCTTTTTCTTCTCAAGAATTGACAATAAAAGTATGAAAAACTGTTTATTTCATCAGATTGTTTATTTTATAACGACTGTACTCATGCTATTAAAATTGTCAGCAAGAAGGAATGTATTATAAGTAATATGTATTATATTGCAAGTAATTTTCATTTAATCCAACTACAATATTTTTTGTATGTAACAATTGAGAGGAAGTGTGCAAAATAACAATGACCCACCTATCTGAATTCAAATATTTGTTTTTGGATAGAATAAAAGAAATATCTCTATAAAAGGCATGATGTGTTTGTGTGTGTGCGTATGTAACAAATGCACGGCCACAATTTTTGACGGATTTGCACCAAAATTTACATGCACATGCTCCAAGTTAGCGGGAAGGCCAAGACTGACTTTGCATTTCCCAACTCCTATCAATAGTGGAAATAATCGATTTTTTTCATGCTTCGACAGCAGTTATCATGTAGTTTGCAGCCATTTTCTATTGGCCAGAGTGAGAGCCTATAGCTGGCTGCCACAAATAGGCAGGAAGATTCTGTTGGCCAGCGTGAGAGCCAACAGCTGACTGATACGAATGTTAACTAGCATGCTAGAATGCAAAAAAAAAATCAATAGCTGCATTCATCACAAGTGGGAAAAATTTAAATCTGCATGGCACTTTACACCAATTGGCTCATTCATTTGCTTAAACTCAATGTTGATTCTGATTCTGCAGAACTGGGTTGGGTGTGAAAAAGTATTTGTTGTTAACATTCTTTTTTCATTCGGTTTTTCCAGTTACGAGTCCTTTTTTAAAGCTGATCGTTTTGTGTTCATTTTGTTTAGTTTTTTTTCAGAACAGATTTAATGTTTAGTATAGAGCTTAGAAAAATTTGCAGTGTGAGATAGGCAAGAAGTAAGGCATGTAGCAACATCAGCACAGCAAAGGGCACTCCTTTAAAGGCAAGGAAGGGCAAAAATATTTTAAGTCAAGTGATAGCGATTGCTGTATGAGTCGTACGATTTTTGAATCAAGCACAGGCAATGCCGGGCCATGCTGCTAGTATAAATATAAAATAAATAAAAATTATGAGAGACAGACATGAGTTACAGACAAAATTAGTTGTGTTGAATATTTGTTTAATGAATTTAATTGTATTTTATTTCCTTTTTAAGGCCAATTAGGAAGAAATAAATAAATATAATTTATGTATGTATGAAAGAAACAGTGAAATGTTATGTGTTTCTTTTTTCTTTTAAAAAGCAAATATAACTTCTCATTGTGTAAAAGAGTCTGTGTGTGTTTTTAGTAGTAACGGGGGATACAAGAGATAGAATTTAGTTCTTACTGTGAACTGTGTTGCCGCTTTTCAAGGTGGCCTCTTTGTAGATTTCAGTGCAGTAGGTTTTTGCATGTGGATGTGAATTGGGATCTTGATTACTGTGAATCTCATGTCAAAATTTTGCACACTGCACCTCAATTGTTACACACAAAACAAAATATACATACATACATACATATATATATATATATATATATATATATATATATATATATATATATATATTCATCCTCCAAAAATTTCTCAGACATTCAGGGCGGTAAATGTTGTTTAATACTGTTTATTATAAACAGAGCATTTACTTAAATATTTGTATATATAAAAAGAATGTATAAACATAAAAATGTCTTAAAATAATTGTTGGACTTTATCCATTTCATAATGTGTGATGTCATTTGTTTACATTTGATATGCATTAAGCAGATATAAATGTACATGAGAGAATCATGGAAGATTGTAGTTTAAAAGCAGTAAATTCGACCTTGCTAACCGATCAATTCTCTGTGGACAAATCAGTAAAGGCACGTCAAGATAAATGACGATTCCATATAGGATACAGGTTTGAATCCTGTCGGGGGACGAATATTTTCTATGAAAATTTCTCAGACACTCAGGCCGGTATAATAAACAGTATTAAACAACATTTACCGGCTTGAATGTCAGAGAAATTTTCATAGAAAATATGATCCTGTCGGAGAACGAATATTTTCTATGTAAATTTCTCAGACATTCAGGCCGGTAAATATTGTTTAATACTGTTTATTATAAACAGAGCATTTATTTAAATATTTGTATCTATAAAAAGAATGTATAAACATAAAAATGTCTTAAAATAATTGTCGGATTTTGTCCATTTCATAATATATATATATATATATATATATAATGAACTGGACTAAGTCTGACAATTATTTTAATATATTTTTGTTTATACATTCTTTTTATAGATACAAATATTTAAGTAAATGCTCTGTTTATAATAAACAGTATTAACAACATTTACTGACCTGAATTTCCGAGAAATCTCAAAATTACTGTTTTTCCTCTGTTGCTAAATGGTATATATATATATATATATATATATATATATATATATATATATATATATATGAGCTATATAGCATTCAACATAAGCTACCTGAAAAAATATCTTGAAATACTTTTTAATACTTAAAATGCTATATCGCCCACCATTTTCTGTTCAGTTGCTTATTGCCCACCCAACAGTTGAAATTGTCCAGGTTGGGAAACCCTGAATTAGATAATATTCCCACAAGAAACTTGTATGAATCATACATGTGTAATATTGTAAACTTAATATTGATAAGTTCAATAATATAATATATTATAATTCATATAATATATGATAGTATTCATACAAGAAAAAACTTGCTTCATTTTATAAGTTATATTTTGTAAACACATACACGCATATATATATATATATATATATATATATATATATATATATATATATATATATATATATGTTAAGAAATGGACAAGGTTAACAATTTATTTATTAAAGACATTTTTTATGTTTAACGTTGTTATTTCATAGATACAAGTATTTAAGCAAATGCTCTGTTTATGATAAACAGTATTAAATAACATTTACCGCCTGAATGTCCGAGAAATTTTCATAGAAAATATTCTATCAAATATCCTGTCAATGAACGAATATTTTCTATGAAAATTTTCGGACATTCAGGCCGGTAAATGTTATTTAATACTGTTTATCATAAACAGAGCATTTGCTTAAATACTTGTATCTATGAAATAACAACGTTAAACATAAAAAATGTCTTTAATAAATATATATATATATATAAAAATATTTTTCTTGTATAATAATATACATGATACTGTAATATAATTTATGTAAAGTTTAACAAGATAAGCATAGCTTTGAACTTTTTATTTTCTTTTAATTATTAATAGTGTTTTTTTTTTTTTTTTTTTTTTTTTCAATATGAATCATGTTTTGGCTTGAATAAACTTGTTATTTTTTTTTTTCAGACTCCATGATGTTCTGCATAGCGAAAAAAAATTAACACTTGTCTTTGAATATTGTGACCAGGATCTCAAGAAATATTTTGATAGCTGCAATGGAGAAATTGACCCTGACACAGTCAAGGTAGGAAACTGAAGCTATTTAAATGTAGCAGGAGTAATAACATTTCTATGGCACTACTTAAATTTTTTTTTACAATGTCTGTACAAATTTTTTTTACAATGTCTGTACTTAAATTTTTTTTTACAATGTCTGTACAAGGCTCAAGACCCACATTATATAAAAAAGTGCTCATGCCATTTTCTTAAATTATGTTTCACAGATAAAGTCTCTGTGGAACAACATTAGACCTATCATCAGGCTGTCAACACGTCAAATCAGCTACTTTTGAGTTAAAAAATGCATTTCTGCAATATTTTAAAGTTAAAGTAAATAATATTTGTTTCAAATCAGATTAATTATTCTTTAAATCAGCTAATATTTCTCAAATAAAGTTTCAGAAAGTATTTTTTTTTTCAAGATTTTTAAAACCGAGAACTAACTTGTGTTTACAAAGGTTTCAAAAAATGGATGACCACAAGTATCACAATTTATGTGAAGGTACCTACTTTAAAGGGAATGAAAACCCAGTCCAAAGCAGGAAGCAAGGGATAAACTTCTACTCCTGTTCCAAAAATCGGGAAGGATGCGTGAACTGAATGATAGGCAAACCTATCTACTTCTATTGACGGAAAGAAATGTAAATAAATAGTTAATAAAAGTTCAGAGGTTTAGGCGGAGATATTAGAAATACACAGTTGAAGTAGACTTTCGGGGGAACCAGAAAGCTAATCCTAAACAGGAAACAAGGGATAAGCCTTTAATCCCAACTGACCTACTCATATAAAACGGTGGGGGATTTCTTGGGGAAATAGATTAACCTTCATTTGACATTCCTCTACCTGTGACATTTGTTAGAACCAAAAAAATATTGATTTTTATCCTTTTAATATTGAGTCCTATTCATAATATAAATACAGTTGGGAATTTATACCTGATTTCTTAAAGAGTTATCTGTACTTAGTTTCTATTTACAAATGTTTGAAATTGTGTTTATGTCATTGATAACTACATATTACTGATGTTGTTTCTCAATTCATAATAGTACACCGTTTTCAATGATGTAAGTGGCTTTGTGGAATCAACTCCCAAGAGGATGCTTCCAAAGATTACTACAATCTTAACCTGTTCAAGTCTAGGGTCAACTGTTATCTTCCCCACATTTCCCCATAAAGCCTGTAACCCTCTACCTAGAGTTTCTCTTGAGCCTTGTACAGGATGGACATCATTGTTTAAAAAATAAATAAATAAATAAAAAGACAGTTTTATATTTGACCAATTGCACTGCCGCTGTCTTGACCTTTCTTTGCTGATTATGTTTTAAATCCTTGAAAGCATTTGGACATATTAAAAGATCTAGTGATTGCAAAATGGTGTCTTGAGGATTATTATGTCTGGAGAAAGAAGTAAAGGAAAACTGATGTAAAAGGATAACATAATTTTGTGCTCACCAACTAATAAATAGTAGACACTAAATAAGCTTGTCCCAAATTGAGGCCTGACCCCGGGGAAGAGAAGGCAAGCCTGATTGGTGGCCTCTGGGCAGTGCTTTGTGACCATTGCTATCTTAATATTTGAATTTTTTTTTAATACCTACATTTATATACATTACAAATTAAACAAAGATTATAAAATAGTGAAAAATTGTCATGGATTTTGACATGATTTTTTTTTTTTTGTCCAAATCTGTGAATTTTTTGTTCATGCCAAGTCTTGAAAAAAAAACACCATATAAACATTACTAATTTTTATCTGTAATGTTGAATGTGTCAAAATTATTCAACTTTTTAACAAGAAAATTCTCAAGTTAATGTTAAAAATGCCACAAAACATTGATTTATTTAAGATGGAATGATCTATTATGACATGTCTCTAATTTGTATTTAGATGAAACCTTGAATTAACGGTCCCTGAACCAATTGACTCTGGATTTAACTTTAAAACTTTTCAAACTTTATTTAAAGGTATATAGTAACTTAAAAATAAAATACACATACATATATACTGTATTTACATTTATTTACAATAATTTTGTACTGTATACTGGGTGTTTTTAATGGACAAATGGCTTTAACAGACAATCCTCCTATTAGTCTGTTAAATTGAATTTCCACTGTATTTATTTACAATTTTACTAATTGAATTGTTCACGTATATTGCATATGATCCATTATTGTACATAATTAGGTTACGATAAAATTTGTATTTTATATGAATATTAATTATGAAAATTGAGATGTAGTAGAATGGGGGGGGGTGCATAGCAATCTAATGCTGTAGAGTCTAGGTACCCTAGAGGAGAGTTTATCAGAACAATTACCATGAAAGTATTTATAGAAAAGGTACAGGGAAGCTACATTACGATGGTGGGAAAGTGACTGAAGCTGAGATGCCAGATCAGAACCAATGGCAGTGCAAATTCTTCTTTAGATTTTATCAAGTACAGAGGAACCTCGGTTCACGAATGTCTCACATGTTGAACAAATCGGTTTTCAAACAGTTTTATGAGATGAAAATGCCTTCATTATCGAATCAAATTTTGTTTCTTGAACAACATTGCCAAACTGGGTTAGCCCAAATGGAATCATTTTTGAGTCCACCGCCATGTTGTATATATTCGTGTGTTGTGCCATGCTTTTCTTTTCCAATTTTATTGTATCTGATTCTTTTTCTTTACATTGATTTCTATTGCAAAAATAGTTTCAGTTTACGAACGGCCTTCTGGAACGAATTAAGTTCATGAACCAAGGTTTCACTGTATTTCTAAATATATAGCAGGAGCACCAGACCAGATATGGCAGCCATATTCTAAGCCTGGACAAATGGTAGATTTGTAAATATGTAAGATAGATTCAGTCAAGAAAAATTGTCTAGCATGACACAGAGAACCAACTTTCTTAACATCAGACCTTGCAACTGATTTGATATAATCTTTCCACTTTGTGTAAGTGGAAAACGTTAGCACAAGAAGTCACAATGAATCACTCCCTTGGAGATTAGCATTTTCTTAATTTTTTTTTATAATGTCAAATTACATTTTGAGTAAATTTTAAATGTTCTCTTCAGTATATTTATGTACTTGTAAATTTGTTATATTTTCTCTTTTTCAGTCATTTATGTACCAATTACTACGAGGTTTGGCATTTTGTCATAGCAACAATGTCCTTCACAGAGACTTGAAACCACAAAATTTACTTATCAACAAGGTAATTCAGAGAATATAAGCTAAAATTAAATGGAACTCATTACACCATTGTTTGCCAAAGTTTCTTGTCCATGACCCTGAGCACAATTATTTTGACTTGGTGACCCTCAGTGTGATAACATAATTACAGTTAGTAATATTGTGTAAGAATATGCAAAGAAACAAGAACCAATGCATATGTACAAATGAATGATAATGTATTAACAAGAAAAGTATACAAATGACAATGATGTACGTAGCATAAGAATGTGAAAACCTTTTTGGTGCAAAGTATGTTATGTGAGTGAATGTGCATATGTAAGTATGTATGTTGTGTATGTGGTATGTCCATGTGTTTTCTTGTGAGAGACTTACATGTTGACATGTAAGCAGAAAAAGTGAGAAGAGGCTATGAAAAATTATCACAGAGTATTTATAGTCCAGAGAGCGGTTTCAGGAAAGTAAGTGGAGTTAACCCCACGTCATATATATAGGGTTGGTGCATAATTATCAGGCGTTTTTAAACAATATTTATTATGGAAAAGAAAACATAACAATTCAACAATAACATTTTTAAATGAGTATGATTATCTATATTAAGTTTTCTGACTGATAGATGTAATACACAGTTTAAAATAAAAATGTGGTGTCTATTTCAAATATGGCTATTCACTAAAAATAATGTTTCAAGTAATAAAAATAGTTTGTTAAAGTAAAATTAAAACCCAAATGTTTCTCTTTGACAGAATGGAGAGTTAAAACTTGCAGATTTTGGTCTGGCACGAGCTTTCGGTATTCCTGTACGTTGCTATTCTGCAGAAGTAAGTAATGTCACACAATTTTTTTTTTTTTTTTTTCAAATTCATTTATATTTTTAACAATCGAAGATGTCATCAAAATGTTTGAATTAGTTTTTCAGTTTGAGGCAGGTAAAAATATCTTACCTTAAAAAAAGTTTTCATTTGGTTAGCAGAATGAATTTTCTGAACTTTGACTTCTGTATTGGGTTTGTAAATAGGATTGTACCTATTTGCATATGTTAAGTAGATGTTTACTTACCAAGGTTACTGCTTAGTTATAGGACGATTCCACATGCAGACAGATTACAAAGCCCATCTGCATTAATGGGTAGACAAATAAGATCTTCGTTAATGATGTCTTATTCAATAAATGAAAGGATGCAGTATAAGCCAAAATAGAAAGTCCTGAGAGCTAATTTCATCTTGCAATTGGGACATAACATGGCAATAATATCAAAGAAAGGAAAAAGCCTAATGGCCAAATCTGACCACTTAAGATCCAGAATTGTAGAAGATCTTGTCAGAGAAGAAAGGATGAGTTCTTCACATCAGGACAGTGGAATAGAAGATGAGTCTGTGGATGAAAGTGTGAGTGACTCAGATATGGAAGAAGATGAAATGAGACCAATATCTCCATTAAAAAGAACAAGACATAAACCTAAAGGGGGAGAGGAGGAGAGAGGTTCTAGAAGTTCAAGAAAAAACAAACGTATTAAACCTCTTCAGTTTAGGGAATGGATTGGTAAATAGGATTGTACCTATTTGCATATGTTAAACAGAAGAGATATAAAGTGTATAGTAAACTAAGAGGCAGGCAAGAAATTGACTACTGATCATGTGTTGTAGAACAACGCAGTACAACAATCTCTTTATAAGCTTGTGTCTTCATCTTGGTTATTTTGTTTTCCAGTTGTCTTCAAATTGTATTTGGTTAACCTTCTGGTAATTTCACACTGAACTGTTTATTTGATCCAAAAGATTCACTTAAGATTTTACTGCCCTGTCTTAAGTGGTAACACCTGTCATAGTACAATGAGTAGTATACTGCTCTTGCAAACTCTTGATAGTAAGTTTTTCTTATTGTGGTAAGAACCAATTACCCTTCTTACTATCATGAATGAACTGATCCATTCATGATAAGTAGTCCTGGGTAATTGTCTAGAGAGCAAAAAAAGATAATACTATTATTGAATACTACTATCATGACTGACTCTGTTGAGTTAATTGTTGTGTCTTGCAACAATTGGTGACGAGAATGATTCACTATTTATTATAATAGTGGTGGGCAAAGATTCGTTTTTGTTCAACTTGTGAAATCAGTATATCAAAAAAAAACTCATGCCAGAAACAATACATTGGAAGCAAATTTTCAAACAATTGAAAATGGAGGACTCGAAAGCGGTAATGTTGGAATTAATAAAACAGTAGCAAGAACAATGACAAGAAGAAGAAGAAGAAAAACAGAACAGCAATTCCAGGAAACATTGTTGAGACAATACAAACAGCAGCAAAAAATACTAGAACTTTTTATGAAGAGTAAAAGTAATGAAAACATGTCTACTTTTTTCTCACAGGAGTCAGTAGTAAATGCAGTAAATTTAAATATAACCCTGATGAAGAGCTTACATTTGCAGCCTACTACAAATACTAAGAGAAAGATAATACTATTGCAATGACTTGTCTAGCTGAGTATTGAATATCGCTATCACGACTGACTCTGTCAAGTGTTGTGTCTTGCCAGACCCTACATCATAACAGTTTAATAAATACTAGCAGTAGAGCCTGGGATTGCCTGGGGATGTAACAGATAGATCAAGTATCGACCATCATAAAGACTGAAAAATAAAATTGACAAAGATTATTGTTTAAGGTTGACAGACACACATCTTAATTAGTTTTATTTTTTATTTTTATTTTTTTTTACGAATTGGTCAAACACAAACTCAAACAAAAACATTGTTTTCAATGAGTCTACTGATTGAATAGAATTTTATTATAAACAAATGTCTTGTAAATGGAATTTTTAAAGCATTCTGAATGTAAAAATAAAGAAAAAAGTGTGCAAGACAATAAGAAACACTACCTGCGAAAAAAAAGTGAAGTTTTGTTGAAATTGGTTGAAAAATGTAGGAAATCCAATCCCATATATAAAGGAACACACACACACACACACAAACAACCAACCTGGGTTTTATAAGTATAACTTGATAACAATAAGTATAACTCGATATGAGTTGTCCCCCTTTCATTAATGCCTCTTAATCGTGTTTTCAAATTGATTTCATGCAAAAACAATTGTTTTTCCAATTTTTGGCGCTGTCAGAACCACTGCAAGGTAATTTTACGTAGTCCTGTGAAGTTTTGTTGAAATTGGTCAAAAAATGTAGGAAATCCGATCCAATATATAAATGTACAGACACACACACACACACAATCTGCGTTTTATAATAAGTAAGATAAGATGACTGTGTTAAAGTTGGTATTCTTCAATATACTCTTTTAATAAACTATATTTTTTTGTTTCCATCATTTAATTCCTATAAAAAATTACAAGGGAGGATCAATAATTTTATAGCCTGAAATGTAATCATTAGTTGAACTTTGAACTTATATTTTCACTAATGGGATGCAGATTTAGAGTTGTTTATGAAATAAGACATGCTTCGGGTGAAGTGCTTAAAAAAAAAAACAAAAAAAAAATCCTTTTCTGAAACATCAGAAATCTGTTATCCTGTCTTAATAGGTGCACAAAAGGAAATTCTTGTTCAAATTTTGTATTTGTAACTTTTTTTGTCTTTACTTGTGCCATAAATGTTTTTCCTTTAAAATTTTATGTAGTGGTTGAGTTTCATTATTTAGTATTTATGAGGTTTTGGTAGGGTGTAATGGTTGTGCTAACTAAGGAACTAACAGAGGAACAAACAAAGAATTATAGTGAGATTATTTACTCAGTCAAAGTGAAATGGTCTGTATATTTCAAAGTGATTCATTTTGGGTCCATACTTTATTGTGAAATAAGCCACCCTTATGATTGCTAGACAAGAATAACTCTTAACCTCAAAAATCTTTCTTTCAGGTTGTCACACTGTGGTATCGTCCACCTGATGTTTTATTTGGTGCCAAACTTTATTCAACATCAATTGACATGTGGTCAGCAGGCTGTATTTTTGCAGGTAACTTTTTCTAACAAATAATCTTAATCACCTTTCTTTTTTGCTTTCTTTCTATTTATTTTTTTTCCTTTTCTGTTTATAACATGGAAAATAAAATATTATGATTTCGACATATCCAGGAAATTTTCTTATCTTGTTTGGATATTTTTTTAGAAATTGGCTACTTTTTAAATTTTTTATGTTTGTTACTATTAAAAAATGACTGTAGCTTTAAAATAATTTTTCATTTGCATTTTTTATATTTTTTTTAATTTTTTTTTTTCATATTTAATCTAAGATTTTTATCTTCAAACATTTAATTCTATTGTCACATATAAGAAGGAATTCTGATTTTTAAGTCATTAAAAGTAAAAAAAATGTCCTAAGAAAATTCACATGATACAAAAAAAAACAGAAGCATTGTAATAGCAGCCTGATCTCCTCTATTTACTAATGAGATATTTACTCATCATAATGATGGCATCAGTTCTCAACTTGGTATCTATGCTGATGACACAACCATTTATTCCTGTTTTGATAGTAAGTCTGAGTGGTATGATAAGGTCAAATTGGCTGCTGATCTAAAAACCCATCTACTTTCTGTTATCAACTGGGACAAAAGATGTCTTCTTAATTTTAACGCCTCCAAAACAAAGCTGCTCTTTTTTAATTGTCTGAGAGCAACCTTTTTCGCATTTCATCAGCATGGCTGATGCTAACCTCCAGATGAGTGTTTTATTGCACCTACTTAGAATAACATTTTCCACTAACATGAAATGGAAAGATTTTATTGAATCAATTGCTAGGTCTGCTGTTAGGAAATTTGGTTCTCTGTGTTATGCCTGACAATTTTTCTTACCAGAATCGATTTTACATATTTTTAATTCTACCATCTGTCCTTGCTTTGAATACTGCTACCACATTCGGTCTGGTGCTCTTGCTGTTTATTTAGAAATTCTTGATAAAATCCAAAGAAGAATCTGCAATATTATTGGTTCTGACCTGGCATCTCGGCTTCAGTCACTTTCTCATTGCCATAATGTAGCTTCCCTGTTCATTTTTTTTTTTTTTTTTTTTATAAATACTTTCATGGTAATTGTTCTGATGAATTCTCCTTTATGGTACCTTGACTTTAGGAATTTCAAAACAATACTAGATTGGCAGCAAGGTCTTATCATTTTACAGTTGAAATAGTCAGATTTAACCGTAAGTTTTATGCTAACAGTTTCTTCTCTTGCACTTCTCGTGGAAATCTCTTCTGACTTCTTGCTTCCCAGTCAACTTTGATCTTTAAAAATTTAAATGCGTGTCTTGTTCTTTTAATGTTAAAAAATGACTGCAACTTTATAATAATTTTTCATTTGCATTTTTTTTTTTTACACGTGTAATCTAGGATTTTTATCTCAAAACATTTAATTCTATTGTCACATGTAAGAAGGAATTCTGATTTTTAAGTCATTAAAAGTAAAAAAAATGTCCTAAGAAAATTCACATGATACAAAAAAAAATACAAGCAGTGTATTAGCAGCCTGATCTCCCCTATTTACTAATGAGATATTTACTTATGATGATGGCACCAGTTCTCAACTTAGTATCTATGCTGATGACACAACCATTTATTCCTGAGTGGTATGATCAGGTCAAATTGGCAGCTGATCTAAAGAAAACCATCTACTTTCTATCCCTATTAGTGTTTTTTTTTTTTTTCTTTCATATTCTCTAATATTCATTATGCTTTGCAACTTAATGGCTTTATTACCTTGCTTGGGGTGAAATGATTAAAAAAAAAAAAAGAAAAAAAAGGCCTTTTTTTTTTTTTTTTTTTTTAACCAAAGCATCTGAATACTAAAAAGAGGAGATGCTTTGTGACTAATAAGTAAATAAACTTACATTGTGTTTTATAATAAAAAAAAGAGATTGAATCTTACTAAAGAAAAATTTAAAAAATACAAAAAAAAACATACCATGTAATATAGGTGATGATAGGTAAAAATGTTTAATGTAAAAATCCATTAATTCTTTAGAAATTGCTTTGTTTACATTTCGGTTACAAAACTGAGCAGTTATAATTTTTGGAGAAATCTGAACAAGTGAATGTGCTTTAAAGGCAAATAAAACCTTTGTTGCCTATGAAGCTCTTCATATCTGAGTGTTCAAAAGTACATTGGAGCTAATGATGGTTTCTCCTGTAAAGGTGGTGGGTGCAGGTTCAAATATTGCCAGAGGGTGCATTTTCTTTAATAAGATTTCTCAAATGTTCAGGCCAGTAGACAAGATGTAATGCTGTTTAAAATAGGTACCTCCACTTGTTTGTTGAATAAACAGCATAGCATGATAAAAAAGTCCCCAAACTTAATAAAAACAAAGTTTTATTGTCAAAATGTTTGTTATTATTAAGAGGGAAGACCAAAGTATTTTTTTTTTTCTATTATTTTATTACATTTTTTAATCCCTTCTCATACATTCAAAATTTTGGTTATAAATCTTGTTTTTGTTTTTTTTTTTTACGTCAGTGGTTGATGCACTATTTATGATTAGTGTTTTTTGTGCATTTTTTTTTTTTTTTCTTTTTCAGGTGGAAAACACATTGATTTGGAAATTCTTGCAAAAATAGAATAATTGTTGGATTTTACTTTCAGAACTTATTCGCAAATTAATGAAATTATTTTTTAAATTTATTTTTTTGAAAATCTTGTTAAAAACATTTTGTTTTTACATAGGTTACTCCACCTCTACTTAGTTAATTTCATGGAATTTCAAGAAATTAAATTGCAATCTCAAAATTTGTTTTATTAGTTAAAAAGTAAGACTCCTTGGAGAATTTAAATCATTTTTTTTTCTTTTTTTTCAAACAGGACCCCCAGTTTCCAAAAATCTACTCTGAATCATGCAATAAAACTATGACATTATTTAGTTAGAAAATTTTTTAATTGCTTTTATAAATAAGATTTATTAAGGACACTATTATTGTAAGAAAAAAAAAATTTTTGATGAATAGTGAACTTTTACAAGAATTGTTTTCATTTTTATTTTTTAAATTTTGAATTATAATAATTTAAATTGTTTAGAATTTTACATTACTTCAATCCGGTAAGGTAATATTTTTATTATGTGAAAACTATATTTATGAATCAAAAATTGAAAAGCTTGTTAAAAGTTGTTTACCCCCAATATTTTTAAAATAATTAAAAAAATTTTTTTTTAGTGTAGAAACATTCCCATTTTGTTAAGTATCTTTTAAAAGTTGTGCTCCCTGAAAAATCATTGTGTTTATGCCTCAACAGGTTTTGCAAATCATACCTTCAAAATTTTAAAATTTAAAGTAATTTTTCACTTTTTTAAATTTCTATTTCACTAAATATTTTTATTTTATTTATTTATTTTAGTGTGTGTCATACTTCAATTAAGTAATACTTTTTTTATAGTAGTTTTTTTTTACTTTTTTTAAGTTTCTTTTTTGTGAGTCTTATTTTGATAAAATGTAACTAAAATTCAAGAAAATATTAGATAATTGCTGAAAGGATTATGTTAATTTTAAAAAATTACTAGGTAGTTAAAAACCAAAAACAAAGCATTCATTTAGACTTCATAAATTTATGTCAATTTTTGGTCAACCATATTTAGCTTTTCAACACCTCAAGCTGCCAATCAATCAGTTAACATGTCAGAAAAACAATACTCTGAGGATAATAAATGCTTGTATACTACGTTTTATGCTATAAGTCCATAATATGTGTTTAAAATCAGATTAATTGAACTTTAAATTTACTAATTTTCCTCAAATGAAGTGTCACACATATATATTTTATTTTTGGAAGATTTTTAAACTAACTTTTGTTTACAAATCTATCAAAATAGTTGATATTTATTGATTTTTCTGAAAGTGAGCAGAAAGTTGAGATTGCAATCAATATAATTTCTATTTGAAAGACAGCAGAGTATTTTGCTTACTGGAAATTTAATCATTTAGCTTTCAATTAAATCTAAAAAGAAAGTTTCAAGAATGCTTTCTCATTTTTAAAAAATCATTTTAAACCTTACATATCGAAAATTTTGAGGAGCTCCCTAGTTTAATATAAATAGTATGTCTACACATTTGGGTATCCACTAAAAATAACATTTAAAATAATAAAAATACCTATTTTATATAAATTTAATATACCTACTTAGATATATTATTTTTATTTTTTGGCAAATATTGATTTGAATGAATTTAAATATTTTCCAGAATTGGCCAATGCTGGACGTCCTTTGTTTCCTGGTAATGATGTTGATGATCAGCTCAAAAGAATTTTTAAGTATCCTTATTTCTTTTCTTTTCAGTTAAAATGAAATTCTTTCTTTTAATAAGACTTACTGTAAAAGATTACCAGCTTTTCATCTTTTGAAATTATATATAAATTCCCAAAGTCCACCTTATCATGTTCATTTGATATCATATTGTTTTAAAACTCAAAATTAAAACCATGTTCACATGAAATTCAAAACTTAAAATTCAAAATCATCCCAAAATGTAAACTATAATGGAATGAATTTTGAATTTCATTAAATATTTTAATTCTTCATAATGACTGAAGCTAATAGAAAGCTAAGAACCTTAGTAAAAATTAACATGAACTGTGTGGATTATTCATATACATCTTTAACACTAAAATGTGGAAATTAATCCATCAACAACAAAAATTAATAAAAAAATATAATAGATATAACAAGTCCATTATCTTCAACAAAACTTGTTAGAATGAAGATTTGCTACCTAGATTAACCCAATTTATATTCTATATATAGGCATACTCTGATTCCTTTATCCAGAGGGTGTGCTAAAAAGTTCTTGGCCAAACTCACATTCTAAAATTGATATTCTGATGTTTGGTTATGGAAATACTAATTTGGAGAATTTGTTCAAGCTGAAAACTTGCACCTCTTCTAATTTTGATGACAAGTGTATCAATAAAGTAAGTCAGTGTAAAGGTATAAATATCAGATTAGTATAATCCAGTATAAATAATACTTTATTGAACATATACAGAAAAAAATTTTCTTAAGTAATTTTATTTTTTACTTTGTAACATAATAGGTAAAAAGCTTTTTTGTCAATATAATAATATACTACTTCATTTTGATAATGCATACACATCCATGCTTATTCAAATATGTTAAGAAGTGTCAGTAAATGAATATATATATATATATATATATATATATATATATATATATATATATATATATATATATATATATAGGCATACTCTGATTCCTTTATCTGAAGGGGTGCTGAAACGTTCTTAGCAAAATTGGTATTCTGATGTTTGGTTATTGGAGTGTGTGAACTGGCTGATAAGCGAATCTAATTCATAAATTAAGTATTTTAGTTTGTATTTTTTGTTATAAATGAAAATGTTTTTATCAAATATTAATATATTTTTTTTAACTAACTAACATAATTGTATTTATTCAGTATTTTCTTAAGTAGGACGACATATAAATATAGTCATCCACTAAGGATCTGAAAAAAGTTGTAGGTTCATTGCGGTACATTTTAGTTTTTTTGTTACTGCCGTAAGGGGAAATAATTACGTTAAAATTGACAGGATTTATCTCCCCTTAATGAACGGTAATTTTTAAACTTTTGAGAGTAAGTTTAAAAATTACCTATTCAAACGACAGTAAATCTTTTTTCAACATGTGGATTTGTTTTTTTTACTGCTCATCAACCCTTTGTAGGTTATTTAAAGCCAGGAAATATTTTAGGTTGTAAAAATCTTTTGGAGATAATGATTTACTGACACAAATCCTACTAATTAACCCATAGCTAGGAGAAATGAGGTGGATTTATACCTTTCCCAAGAGTATTTGTGTGTAAGCGAATATAACGAACCCGACTGGAATTGGAACTCCGCTTTCCAATTCCGAGCTGTTATCTAGTACACCAAGCTTACTGCACTTGGTATTGGCAAGTGGTAACTTATCTTGGTAATAACGAGGCTTGATGTTTCTTAACTTCAGCAATTGTACAAGGCCTCTAGTGTTTTAATGGGATATAGCCGTAAGTATAGGTTAAAAGGAAATGATCACACAGCAAACTCCTTCAGTAACCCTCTACTTTGACTTGCTCTTATATAAAGTGAACACTAGTTAAAAAGAAAAAAAAAATATGACAAATTGCATTTTGAATATTTGAGCTGAATGAATGGTTATTTCAATATGTCTCTATATCTCTGAGATGAGGTATTATGATTATTTACATTATTCAGACTGTTGTCTTTATCTTCATTGCCATATTCACAATGTTTCACAAAAATTGCTATATAAGCTCTGGTAAAAAATAGGCAATAATAATAATGGAATAATTGCAATATGAGCACTGGTGAAAATGGTTGCTGGGACATTAGGTTTATAAGTCTCAGAAATTCCAATCACCAGAAGATGACTGGAGCATACAATGGCTGAAACGTTGTGAATATGGCAATAAAGATGAGGATAATAGTCCTAATAATGTAAATAAACAGTTACCTGTTTAAAAAAAATTTAATATTTGCAAATAATTAAGTATTGAGAATTTTGGATGTATTTTATCAATGAAATGTACTTTTGCAGTGATGAGAAATAAAAAAGATTTTAAAGTTGTATTGATGCTTTAAATATTTCAGATCGATGACAGCTGTTGTACCCACTTCATCAAGTTTAGTTTAGTATGACACAAGGGCATGTAGGAAGGGAGATTGTGGGTTAGGAAGGTTGTTTTGTGCCATATTCATAGTGGGAAGGACCAGCCTGTCTTGAAAATTAAGAAAATGCTGGGTTTTCCTGGTCCCCAAAAATAACAAGTAGTGCCAGGGAAGAGTGTGTTATAGGACGTTAATGCAGTATTTGGAGAATTTACTCCTCTTTAAATGGGTGTTATTGAATGAAAAAGAAACTTATATTTTATAAGCATTTAAACAAAAGAAATAGAAATAAATAAGAATTTTGCAAACTTGTAAGAATCCTTTTAACAGTCTGTGAGTATAATTTCAAATCTGGCAATGTCCTGAAGTAGTGTGCCGTTGTGTGTGCTTTCTTGACCATGAGTGCAAAACAAACATGACCATCCATTATGTAGACCAGCATTAGAGGCTTCATTTTGGCCAATGAGCAGGCTTCTTATATTTATATTATGGCATTCTGAACTCAAGGTCAGGTGATGCATTTTTTTGAAGTGTCAATGGATTTTAAGTTTAACTGAAAAAAAACATAATTATTATTTAAAAGTAATATAATTTATTACTCGAAAGACCTGTGAAAATTTCACAATTTTCCTATTTTAATATTCTGATGAATCTTAATTCTTAAGTTAATGATTGAATAAGCTCATGGTGAGTTCTTTGACAATAAAATATCTGTAAAAACTCCCCTCTTTAATTATTTGAACTTAACAACATTAACAAAATATTGCAATAGCAATCATAAATATGAATGCTGTTCATTATTTAAAGAAGTAAGGGGGTACAAATGAAAAGATTTGAAATTGACAACTTTTTCCATTTCACTGAAACAGCTGTTAAACACTTCTGTCTTCCCTTTCTTTCTTTCATTCATTTTCTCACTGAAACCAAGTAGTGTCTATTCCTCTCTTTCCAAGCAATCAAAACAGAATAGTCCATTATTTATGAGGTATTGGCACAGTGTAATGGTTATGCAAACTAACAAAGAGAGGAACAAATACAATTATAATAGGACATTTACTGAATATCAACATTATATATGACTCCAGTTAAAACTGACAATATTTAACAGATTTCAATAATTACTACCATCTGGCCTAATGACATTTATTAGAAAGTTGTGTGTCCAAATGTTCAATCCCCCTTTCTCTTCTCTATCAACCATTGAGGCATACCAATGACAAGACATTTTTTGTCAAGATAATAGAACAGAAAAAAAAGAATATGGATTCACATCTTTTACAAGAATATCAATCAGTAAAAAGTGAACATACACAGCAACAGCCAAACTTTGAACTCATTCAGCTGAATATATCTTCTGTTATATTACCTTGAAGTTTAACATTTAGTTATTCAACGCTTGCAGAGTGATCTGAAACATCAAGCCATTGTAAGAGTGCTACTGGTGCTATATGTATCCTAGTTATACAGCAACTAAATTGGTTCCCTCACAAAGCTTTACTGGTAAGGAGGGTGGCTAGATACCCTACAGGATTAAAAACAAGACTTGTCAAAGAGTGGATGAAATTTTTTGCAGGGTTAACACCTATCTAGCACATTGAGTTTCATAGTTCTTCAAGTGAGGAACAAACACAATTATAATAGGATAATTTGCAATTATTTCTTTTCTTTCATTTATTACATATATTATGATAATTATTTCTTTCAATTTTTTCCACCAGGTTTTTTTTCTGTATTAATATTTATTTGTTTTTGTACAACTAACCTGAAGATCGTTTGGCTTACTGTTACTTTTCTGTTTTTGCTTACCTTAAGTTATATTTATCAACTTTTCCTTTTCTACTCTTGTTCATTTTTTTTATCAAAAAAAAGGTGTTAATACTGTCAAAAAGGTAATATAAATTTTAGGTGTTAGTACTGTCAAAAAAGGTAATATAAACATTTTTATAATAAAAATACCGGAAATACATTTTCATAGTAAAATAATGTCACCAGTAATATATTTTTGGAAAAAAAAAAAATTATCAGTGACATTTTTTTTTTTTTTATCAAAGAAATTAGTAATGCTCCCAAGAAAATGAACTTTTTGATAGTAAATGACCCATAAGGAGTTGATATGCTGCTAAAAAAAAAAAAAAAAAATTCATAACCTCTGAGTATTTTAGGCTTAAATCCCAATTTATATTTTCATCTACTGATTACTACATCCAAGGGGCATAACTCCTGTTCCTTGTATGTTTTGTTTCTTTTTAATTGTTTTAATTCCAATAGTGTAACTACTTTGCTTCACCAAGTCGACTGACTATGACTTTCTTCTGTTATTGATGTTTACTTCAATGACAGCACAACAATAATCTTGTATTTTTCTAAATGTATTTTTATTTTCATATTTTATTTTAATTTCTGGAAAGTTATTTTCTTGACTTTCGCATATTACTTGGCACCCCAACTGAAGACACTTGGCCTGGGGTAACTCAACTCCCTGATTACAAAGTAAGTGGATGACTTGTGTATTGCAAGAAAGAAAAGGTATTTTGGTGGAATGTCCAATGGAATTTTCAATATTTTATTAGAAACTTCATATTGTGAGTTTCTACTTTGTTTCTTAGATGCCTGTAAAATCTATATATAAAATCCTGAGATTTCTGTTTGTCCGTCTGTCCATCACATCCTCTAAAATAGCTATATATTGACTGATTGAAACAGTGCAAACAGATAAGGGGGTACAAAGTACAGTTGGTTTTACTATGATGCTTAGCTTAGTACAATAAATTTCCATTAATTTTTTGGGAAAAATTAAGTTTTATTATTTAACATAAAAAAATATGCCCACCATTTTAAAAACAAATTAAACAGTGAGTTGTCATTGTTGTCATCAGTTGATGTACTGATTCTACTGCGCTGTGTTGACTGCAATATCTTTAATAACATCAGTGAAAGATGGAGAGTGAGAAATTGAAGGAAGCTGCAGATATTATCATGTCGGAAAAGATCTGCAAGATAAGTCGGGATTTTAGCAGGACTTGCAGTTTTTTTTTTTTTTTTTTGCTCAACAGGGTGGGAATTAGAATGCACTTCCTATAGATAAATCTGGAATTATCCTGTATTACGTGGTTTTGTTACGAGGATGCATTTCTATAATAAGGGATTCCACTGAGTTCTACTTGTTATTACAAAAAAGTTTTCATTCATGAAGTAGTTGTAAAATAGAGAAATTAGAAATAGAATGTTTGGAAGATTCTAGATCATTCCAGTATATTCGAGAAAAATCTAGATCATTCGATAAACATCTAGAAATATGCAAATTAGGTGTTAGCCCCTATAAAAATGGGATTTTGGAAAAGGGTTGTCAGTTGATGAATGAGAATTTCTGCTGTTATCAACTCTGGCTTTTGATTCAAGGACTATTATATCCAGCCGAAAGAATCTCTATAAAAAGTTGCCGACCAACCAAAACCCAAAAGAGAATTTCATGGAACAAATTTGGTAAATAGAATTTTGACTAATTTTCATTGACCAAACTAAAAATTAATATTTATTTACACACCTTTGTGGATTTCCAAATATAGCACTTAGATTACTTCACTAGCCCTAAAAAGTGATAAAGATATTTGATTCCCTTTCCTTCTTCCTCGTAACACTTCGCCAGTAACTCTTTGTTTTCTGTTTCGTAGGCCACAATTGTTTATCCTGTATATATTTTATGTTGTGTTTTTGTAAATTAAATATTTGTTTGTGATTTTAGCTCTGTGTTGTGGTAAATCATTTTTTTTTCCTTTGTTACAATTATCAACACGTAACAGGTTGCTAAAAATAATATTGTTTATGTGGTTGGAATTTCTGGGAATAAACTGAGTGAGTTACTATGTACACTAGCATTGCTTCTTCTGTAATGAAGAGATCTCACTTCTCTTACTGATTGTACATTTGAAGAAATCTGTAGAATGTATTGGCTGAAATGGAGTAGTAACAGTATAAGCAACATAATTTGTTTTGTAATCTAAACTAATCCTGTTTGTTTAAAAATTGTGTGGATTAATATATATAAGAAAATTCATCTCCCATGTCTGGAGCTTTGCTCATTTCACACTATTATATTAATTCTTTTAACAGCCATACCCGATCTATCATGTGAGCACAACGTGGCCCCAGGTTGTTCCAAAGTTAAACTCCAAAGGAAGAGATTTGCTTCAGGTAAAAAAAAAAAAAATTGGTCTTTTTCTTAAAATCACAAAATCTATTTTGTTATTTACAATTTTTTTTTTGTTATTTGTATTTTTATCATTTGTTGTTTTTTTTTTCACTTGTTTATCTTTTTGTTATATTGTTTTCTTATGATGATATCTTGGGTTGTTTGACATTAACCAAGAAACCCAAGTAGTAGCCTCTGCTGTGATTTGACCTCAACCCATATTTTGGGGAACTGGTCTGACATTGGTGATGCTTTGACCAATTTAGCCACAGAAACCAAACCAAGTTGTTTATCCACATCCATTGTCAGCTGTTTTTGTCATATTTGTTTTAGGTTCAAGTCTTGCTGAAGGTTGCCACTTTATTTCAGATTCCTCTCATGTAATCATTGTTAACTGAGATAAAAAGACAGAAATCTTTTAATTTTAATTCTTCATGTTTACCGTATATTTCTGCATATAAGGCAACCTTTAAATTGTAAGAATTACCCCTCCCTCTCCAAAGTAGTTGATTGTCTAATACAACAGTTACGAAAAGCTAACCTTAAATCCTGTGGTGTATCGCCACTGATAAGTAGGTTAGTATGATTGCATCATGGATCGTAGCAGGCTAACAACAGCCTCGTTATGATAACTATCAATGGAAATATTTCGAATTGAAACAATTCACATCATTATAAATGTAATAAAACTACATCTTGATTTCACATTAAAATGCAATATTCAAGAGACGATTACAAAACAATCTGCCTATCTTGGGTATGACAAGAAACTCAATCTGACAGCAAGGCCCTCTGATCAGGAAGTTTTTAGAAGCATGAAACTGCCTCTTGGTTGCTGATGTTCCCAGATCCACTTTGACCTGGTGTGGTGGCACTTGTTGGGGTCCAAGCTATGGGCAAATAGTTACCCCTCCCCCCCAAACTGGTTTCAAAACACTATGAAAGTGTATAAATATGTTTTAATACTAGCAATACATTTTTGAAGGAAAAATTTTTTACCTGCAGTACATTTTTGAGCAAGAAAAATATTACCAGCAGTACATTTTTGAAAAATTTAGTGCCAGCAATAAAAATCTTGTTGGCATTAAATAACCCATTGAGGTTGTTTTGCCGTAAAAAAAAACAAAAAAAAAAAAAAACAATATAACAGTCTGCAAAATTTCTGCTGAGCAACAAAAAAAAACAAGTTATGTAAACAAATCTTTTGTTCCTGATTTGTAGAGCTATGGGTGTGTCCACACTAATCATTCTTTCTCATTGTTGTGTTAATTAACAACATTTAGGATAACATACAGTCTAGATTTCTATTTAAAATTCATTATCACTTTGGTGTTAAATAACAACATTTAGTATAACATGCAAACTTTATTTTTCAGTAAGATAATAATATGGTATTTTTGTTAAGAAAGAAAACATTTAAAATGCAATAAAATCTTTATTTCTCATTACAGAATAGGTAACTTTTGTTTTCATGTGGACAAGTCATAAAAATAAACTCATTATTGCTATTTTCATAAAGATTCATTTTAATAGTTTATATTATTTTATTCCTTTTGATTTGATAATAATAAAAATAAGCAAAACAACATTTGTAATAACAGCTTTATTTTATACTCGTAGGAATCATGATAGACCTGACTGCTACTGGCATCACAGGCTATGTTACCGGATATAGGTTAACCTATGTTTTCAGTCATATTATGGATATCAGATAAGATATTATATTACAGCTATCAGATAAGATCGTAAAAAATTTACCAAGATTTTGGGTGTTGCCTTATACATGGAAATAGACAAATATTCATATAATCTAAATGTGTATGTGGTTGAGGGGTTAGAACATTCACTTTCCAACCGTGAGACCTGGTTTTGAATATCACTGTGGTCGGTCGATTTGTTAGCAAGGTGACTTCTAGATGTTATCAACCTGGGGGGGGGGATCCCAATATGTGGCACCTTTGTAAAGTGCCTGGAAACCCTAACCACAAGCTGACATCATGCAGTGTGAGTGAAACTAGGCAGATGGAACTGTTTGGAAGTTGCCGATGCCTGTGCTAGCACAAAGTCACAAGTCATCGTGACTGAGGGGTTGACTGTAATGGCTTTGGTCAACCTGTTGATCATGCCAGATGATGTGTTCTTTCCCAGAAATTGTTAACTAAGAGCCACTTGGCTTAGTTGTGGTATAAACCACAGGTTTATAGACTAGAAAAATAGTTCTACAGAAGGATGCTGAGAATACCATCAACTGAATATGTGAGCAATGACAAAGTTTTAGAGAAAACGGAAACAAAAAGGACATTCAAAAAGAGTTGAAATTGCTAGGGCAGATTATGAGGTAAGAGGGCTTAAAATTTTGACTCACACAGCGGAAACAGTGCCTAACCCTACCTAACAAGCTTGTGTAAATAGTTGACAGAACAGGGATTAGGGGAGAGAATGAAAAGACAAAATTTACTAATAGCTACAAAGGAGAGGAAATTGTGGAGAGCTGTGATCACCTGTATTCTCAAGAGATATGGCATGTAGAAGAAGACGTCCAAAGTCAATACTTGTCTATACATCATCTACTACTACTAGTAATAATAAAAATTCAAGATAATTCAATTGATGAATGTTTATAATGAATGTTGAATATCTATGCTAATATGAATATATATTTTTTTTCTTACTTTCAGAGGCTGTTAGTGTGCAATCCGTCCCAGAGATTGTGCTCTGAGGAAGGCATGCAACACAGCTATTTTGCTGACCTGAGTCCAGCGATCAAGCAAGGTTGAACTGACTGGTTATAACTGTCTGCACCCTGCAGTGATGCCAGTCTGTGTCTGACGCAGGCTAACAATAAGCATTAACATTGGGTGCCACAACTCTGGTCCACGTCTTGTTTTCACACTTTAATAGGGATTTTCTTAGGAAACAAATGTACATGCAATCAATTTCCACAATATGTCACTCTCTTTAAAAAAACAAAAAAAGATGGATCTTTAGGGAAAATTGTCACATTTTACAGATTTGCTTTCAGTTATTGATTAAAATGAACCATAGAGCATTTATTTTTTTAAGAAAAATCTAATTTTGAAGTGGTCGAATTTAAATACTGTTGTAGAGGTTGGGGGTGGGAATTGGTGCTTTTTAAAATTTAATTTAATGAGTCATGTTGCAAGAGAGATAAGGTTTTGGATTTTACCATTTAGTGACTATATGTCACTGTAATTTTGAGAAAAGTGAAAAGAAAAATATTCTTTTAGAATAGAATTTAAAAATAAAACTTTTTTAAAATGTAAAATCCAAGGCATTGCATTATCTGAGGAGGCGCAGTGGATTAATGGATAGCAGCTCAGATTGAGAAATTGGAGAGCCATGTTCAAATTCCATTCAGATCCATTACATTTACTTATGTACTAATACCCTTGGGAAAGGCATGAATCCTCCTCCTCTTCCCCCATTTATGGGTAAATAGCAGGACAGACCGGGTTCTATAGCCTTGGATGGTAACTGGTCTACTGCAGAAAGAAATGGCAACCTACTGCAAAAGATACATGATTGCCTAAGTGTGTATCATGCATGTCACATAACTGATTGATTATTTGTTACAGTTAAATTTAATGTCTTAAGATTTAATTTTTTTCCAAAATAATGTTCAAGAGCCACTCAAGGTAGAGGGTTACTGTGTGGACTTACATTAGTGAAGGAAAGAACAAGCATTAGGAGTATAGAGCTGAATCAGACATTAGAATGAACTGGAAACCCAATCCTAAATGGGGAAACAAGGGATAAATCTCTACTGTTCAAGACTGGGGAGGAGTCTGAACTGGATGATAGGCAAACCTATCTACTCCTGTTTAGAATTAAATTTGATGTTTTAAAATTGATTTTTTTTTTTTTAAGTTGTAAGGTTTTTCTATGATCAATAACCTTGTGAATCTTTAATGCCATTTTCTCAAAACTCTAAATAAGACATTTTGGAAATTAGCCATGTATAATGAATGTTGAGTTCCATTTTGGCTAAAAGTGAACATTGAAATCAGTTAAAGCAGACATGGCCTGTGATTTGAGTTAAAGAAGTGAACTTTTTTTTTTAAAAAATCATTTCACCCCCAAGAAAGGCAATAATGCCACGAGGACACATGGGGTTACTGGGAGTGAAAGAAAATAAAACTTTAGTGAGGAGAAAGGACAATATAAGAACAGGATCCAAGAAGGCAGAAAATAGCGATTGATGTTACATTTAAATTTTTGAACATTGTATTTATCAGGGAAGCAAGAAATTGGAAGGGATTTCCATAGGCAAGAAGTGCGAGAAAAGAAACTATTAGAGTAGAACATAGGGTTGTATCTAGTTAGTTCAGAAGTAAAATAGTGAGACCTAATAGCCAATCTAGTAGCAGTCGAGGCACCAACAAAGCTCATAAGAACAATTGCCATGAAAATATTTGTAGAAAAGACAGAGGAGAGCCACATCACGTCTGTGAGAAAGTGACTCAAGTCGAGATGCCAGGTCAGGGTTGATTACAACAAAATAGCTGAAGTACCAAAAGATACTTTTCTTGATTGGTTTTTATTTTTTTATGTGTGGATCTGAGAAAATGTTCTTCAGATAATTATTTAAAAAGGAAATTGGTTCATTTGTCTTCAAAAGGGCAAAAATATGTAATTTTAATTACAAATTTTTAAATTTTGAATTCCAAATTTGAGGTTATTTAATTCCTATACAATTGAATTCCTTCATCTCCAAATATTTATTAACTGCAATGATCCTTGTTAATGTGTGGATGCATCAATGGTATCATTACATCTAAAATCCTTAACTGACAAGATCTTATGAAAAAGTTCTTTATTTTTTTCTGCACATATAATTAAACAAATCCAAGTGATGAAGATTAGGAACCTGTTGAATGAAAATCTGAAAGAGACAGTTGAAATTACTAGGGCACATAATGAGGAAAGAGAGCTTGGAGAATATGACACTCACAGGATATTAAAAGCAGTGAGTCATATAATTAGCTTGTGTAAATGGTTGAGAGAATAGCATGTTGGAGTGATAGAAAAAAGTCAAAACTTATTGAGAGCTACAAAGGATAGGAAGTTGAGGAGAGCCATGGTCGTCCAGATCCTAAAGGGATCTGGTACATTGAATTGGTTTAGTAGGTAAGATGTACACATTTTTACCTTTTTATAAATTTTTTTAAAGGTTTACTTGATGCTTAAATGACTGTCCTCATCAAATGAAATATCTTATGAGATCAGTGGACCTCATCAGTTGGTGTTTCATTGGGAATCAGTGGACACCATCAGTTGATGTATCATTGGAGATCAGTGGACAACATCAGTTGGTGTATCATTGGAGGTCAGTGGACACCATCAGTTGGTGTATCATTGGAGGTCAGTGGACACCATCAGTTGGTGTATCATTGGAGGTATCATTGGAGGTCAGTGGACACCATCAGTTGGTCATTGACAGTGGACCATCAGTTTGTATCATTGGAGGTCAGTGGACACCATCAGTTGGTGTATCATTGGAGGTCAGTGGACACCATCAGTTGGTGTATCATTGGAGGTCAGTGGACACCATCAATTAGTGTATCATTGGAGGTCAGTGGACACCATCAATTGGTGTATCATTGGAGGTCAGTGGACACGATCAATTAGTGTTTCATTGGAGGTCAGTGGACACGATCAATTGGCTTTTCATTGGAGATCAGTGGACATCATCAATTGGTGTTTCATTGGGGAGCAGTGGGCATTAATGGATGTTTCATTGGGGATCAGTGGACATCATTGATGTTTCATTGAAGGTCGGTGGATATAATGAATTGGTATTTCATTGGGGATCAGTGGACATCATGAATTGGTGTTTCATTGGAGGCCAGTGGAGATCATCAATGGATGTTTCATTGGTGGTCAGTGGACAACATCCATAGATATTTCATTGGAGGTCAGTGGACAACATCAGAGAATGTTTCATTGTGGATTAGTGGACCTCATCAATGGATGTTTCATTGGCAATCAGTGGACATCATCAATTGGTGTTTCATTGGGGGCAGTGGGAATCATAAACGGATGTTTCTTTGGAGATCAGTGGACATCATCAATTGGTGTTTCTTTGGAGGTGACTGAACATCATCAATGGATGTCTCATTGGAGATCATTGGACATCATTAAGTGATGAATTATTTTTTTTCCAGCAATATGAGCATCATTTATTCATTATTTAATTTGCTAAATCTATGATTTATGAAGCTGTGTCTTTTTCTGCAAATGAAGCTGAAAGAACATGCCAAAGACAGTGGTATGCTTGCATGCCTGCATCTTGAAAAGAAAACAGGCAGAAAATAGTGACAGCTTGGTGCCAAAAATGCTCAGCTCTCTTCTGTATGTAATGCTTCAAAAAGTTTAAAAAAATATTAAATTTAGGTACTCAGCTTTAGTTTTGTTTTCCCCCTTTTTCTTTATTTTGATGGCCATGTTGAAACATTGGTTCCCCATATGATCACCAAAGTTAAGCAATATAGGTGATTGCTTGGGAGTACCAGATGCTATAAGCTTGATGTGTGGGTGAAATAATGGGTAATGTTTCGGAATTGTTAATTAGAGAGCCAAGTTCCAATTCCTTTTGGCTTCATTAACATTCACTTATGCAAGGAAAGGTATGAATCAACCTTTTCTTTTCATGAGCTATGGATTAATTAGCAAGATATCTATAACTAAAACCATTATTATCTCAAAAAAAAATTTAAAGTTGTGTACAAAATATTTAGATTTTGGCATTCAATAACCCATAGGGGTGTTGATATGACACTAAACTAACTAGATTATCAAACTAGATTTTGATAATGTAAGAGTTAGAACATCATTTTTATAATTTTAGCATATAAAGTGAATAACTATCCTTTTGAAAAAAAAACAAAAAAACCCCACCCCCATTTAGCATGGCCATTTGTGCAATCTTTTCCCACTGCTTATCGGTTAAAGATATCATTGTCTCTTCCTATCACAAACCATGTATTGAATTGAGTAATTTCTAGTTGTTTATAGTAATATACTGCCAGTTAAATCCGATCTGGGATGGAACTTCACACTGTTTGGTTGAAAAGTCCATGATTTTAATAGTTTATCCAAAACTACCAACTGTTCTTTGTTTTGTTAATCCCTCCATGTCAATATGCTGCTTGATTATTTGGATTTTACAAGTATTGGAATGGTAATTAGAAAGCATATTCTTTCACTTTAGTTTGATATCATTTTCTTAAAGCAGAATGAATTTGTGTTAATGAGCATCTCCAGTCTGGTACTGGGATTGCATCTCTGACCTGGTAATTGAAAAGGCAGCACATTTTCATTAAATTAGCTTCTTGCTTTCAAACTCCCAGATCCAAATAGTCACACTCAAATATATTTGTTTAGTCACTCTGGGCCACTTATTCGAGAGGGCCACATTTTAAATATCTTGGGGGAGGGAGATGCTTATTTGAAAGGCCCACTTATTTAAATTCATTGGGGGGGTCACTTATTTAAGATGTGTTAAATCAAGCATTTATGGTAATTTTCAATGGAGGAGGGGCAATTTATTTCCTAATTTTCTCCTCAAAAATACAAAGCAATTGAACTGAAAAAGATTATTTTTACTTAAGCTTTTAGTGAAAAAGATTCTAATCCACTCTATTGTCCTAAAAGCTACATTTTTTGGGGGTGGGGCAATGGAAACTGATCACCATGAGTAAAGGGGAGGTTATCCTATGACGTAGATTGCATACACTTGCAGGTTACATGAGGGTGCTGAAAATTTCAAAAGCACAATTTATTTCCCAGTCTAATTCCCCTAAACCTGACCAAACATCAGAATCTAGGGAGGAGGTGGCTTCTTGGTCTGGCTGAGAATTTTTCAGTGCTCCCTTGTAAATTGCAAGTGCATGCAACCTGCCTTATGGAATAGCTTCTCCTTTACTCATTGTGAACAATTACCTACTTCCAATAAATATTTTGGGAAATAAAGTGGATTAAAATGTCTTATGTTAAATCAACTAAAGCCTGATATATATATATGTGTGTGTGTGTGTGTTATTTTTAGTGGATACTTGTATTTGAGTAGACACTCTTTATTTATTGAACAGCATTTATTTTCATCTACTCCCCTGAATATTTGAGAAATCTTAGAAAAATATGCGCTCTTCAGCATCTGTCAGATTAATAGATACAAAAATGCATTCCTTCCTTTATATATATATATATATATATATATATATATATACATATATATTCACACAAAACTAATGCAAGGTTAAATTTTAAATAATTACCTTAGACATCCATCTTGTTAAACATTTGAATTATTAGATGGATGTAATTACATTTAAAATCATTTTTGCATTAGTTTTGTGTGAAATTATGTATTTGTAAATTGATTGCACGTTTATTGTAATATATATATATATATATATATATATATAGTTAAATTTCAGATCAATTATGTGGACAAGACAGATTGGTATAAAATGACAATTGGAAAAAAATCTTACATTTCGATTTCATTTTTGCCTTGAAAAAGTTCGGGAAGATTTTAAACGCATTGGCAAAATCTAAGATTTTTTTTCCAATTGTCATTTTTATACATATATATATATATATATATATATATATATATATATATATATATATATATATATATATATATATTAAAATGAATCGTTCATACAAAAAGTAAATAAGTAAGCTAATAATATAAAATGTTGAATTCACATTGCTAAGTAAATTTTGAAGATGCTTTAACCCATTAATCACTCGATGGATGTTATAATTCTTGTTCTTTAAAATTATACATTGTATTAGGTCTTCCTTAAATATGCAAGTACTTTCAATGTGTTCTCCGGTCATCATCAGGCATGGAAACTATTTTCTTTTTGGTAAAATTCAGGTAGTATCCAAGACGAAAAACAAAATCGAAATGTTTTTTGAAATGTGTTATATATATATATATATATATATATATATATATATATATACACGTGTGTGTATATAATTAATATGGAAAAAGTTTTTTTTTTTTTTTTTACTTTGTAGTTTCTTGGCTGTGTGCATTTCTGCCATTGTTTCTCAGTTTCTCTTGTGCTTTCATTGGGATGATCGTGTTATCTATTTACATTTTTTTTTTATTGTTCTTGCTCGTTAATGCTTTTCTGATATTCTTTCACACTCAGTAGTTACCCCCCCCTGTGTGTTAGTGGCTTTGTTGCCTTCTTTGGAGTGAAATGATTAAAAGAAAAAAAAAAAGAGATTCTTGAATGCACAGGCCGGTAGGTGTAATTTACACTGTTTTTTTTAGTTTTTTTTTTCAAAAAAAAAAAAAAAAAAAAAAAAATTAAAGAACCAACAACAGGACTTCTACTCAAACATGTCCATCCCCTCAAATATAACCTTCGAAGTGACAAGAAATGTTGGAGTAAAAATAAAAATTGCTCAACTAATTAAAAACTTACTCTGTTTAGATTTTGGTGATGAAAAAAAATATAGCCAGCACTTACGAACTTTCGAGAAGATGCTCAACAAGAAGACATACTTTCTCTAATAAAAAGCTAATTGAACCTTTCTGGGCTGTGTAGCCTAAGGCATGCCAGGCATGGTTTTGCTAACCCCCCAAAAAAAAAAACTAGATGCAGGTCTGTAACTTATTGGAGGGCGCCTTTTTAAATGGCAGATTTTTGAATGGACCGGCAAATAGAACTAGTCTACACTTGTTAAAAAAAAAAAAAAAAAAAAAAGTTATCTATTCAAACATTCACTTGTTTTTTCCTCTCTTTCTCTTTCTTTCTCCATCTCTTTCTTTCTTTTTTCTCTTTCTCTCCCTATTCAATAAAATATTATATTTGAAGTAATAAGATATAAAGGATTAAAAAAAAAAATTCATTAAATCCTTAGTAAATAATATATATATATATATATATATATATATATATATATATATATATATATATATATATATATATATGAATAAAGATAAAAGGAAAACTGATGCATTTAAAATTTGTAAGACATGCAAGTGTAGCAGAATACACCAGCTGGCGGATTCTGGTACACTTGCATGTCTGTTTGTTTATCAACTAGCGTGTCTACTTACGTTTATATCTTGGTCAGCTTATGAACTGTTCAGCTGACCCATGTAAAAGTTGACACTGAGGTTAACATTGACAGGTAATGGTCTATTTCATGCGTAAACATAATGTTTTGCATGGCCTGAAGATTGTGTTTAAGTATGAAACGTGCTGTCATCGCCTAGTGTTGACCTCAGTGAGAAAGAAAGAGAGAGGGAGAGAAAAGAGAAAGCAATAGAAAGAAAAATATAGAAAGAAGGAGAGAAAGAAAACAGATGGAGAAAGAGAGGAAAAAAACAAGTGCTTGAAGCTCTGAATCAAAATCATGTGAAATTAAAAATGTCAAAATTTTTATTTATTTATAAAAAATAATTTTCATGTAATTTTTATTTAGTTATTTTTTTTTTTATTTTTTTAAAAATATTTCTGCTATAATTTAGAAAACAATATTTTATTTATCTATTTTTTTTTTTTTTTTTTTTTTTTCACTTTTATTTTAACAAAGGAATTTTTACCTTGCTAATTCATCCTTCCCTTTTTAATTCCTTTCTTTTCTTTTTGTCTTTCTCTTCTCTTTTATTTGATTTCCTTCCTTTGCCTTTGGACCATTCCCAGGGCATGTCCTACTTTATTGATGTGGAATCTCTGAATTGGTAAAAAAAAAAAATGACAATCTAATTATCCAATTTTTTTTCTTAACCCAGTGAAAGAAAAAAAAAAAAAGGTAACACTAAAAAGCTGATCTCAAAATATTTGTAATAAAAAAGGGAAAAAAATAATTGAAATAAAAAATGAAATAAAATAAAAAAGTAAAAAAAATAAAAATAAAGTAAAAAATAAAAATAAATAAACTAAAAAAGTAAAAAATAAAAATAAAAAAAATAAGAGATGAAATTTTGAATTTGTCTTCATTTCTATTTATGTTTTGCGTTATTCTAGTTTCAACATAGCACTTTTGCAAAACTATTTTCACTGGGTGCTCCATAAACGTGGCCTTGTGTCAGACTTGGTTAGATTCAGATAATCAAAACTTTGTTTTTGTATATTGATTGTTACAGCTTATCAACTTTTTGCAGGTTATTTAAAACCAGAAAATATTTTTTGATTCTAAGAATTTCATTTTGGTGCTAATTATTTATCAATACAAGTCCTGCTTTTCAACCCTTAGCTGGGGGGAGAAGAGGTGGATTCATACCATTCCTAAGAGTGTATTTGTGTCTAAGTGAATATGACTAGAATTGGAACTCAGCTCCCTGATTTCCAATTCCGAGCTGTTATTCATTTCACCACAAAGCTTACAGTACTTGGTATTCCCAATTGGTCACCCATTTAGTTACTGACCAGGCACAATGTTGCTTAACATCAGTGTTCACATTAGAACTGGTGTTTCAATGTGATAATGGTCGTATTTCCTATATAACCCACACAAATCCAAGCTTACAGTACCTGGTTTTACCGAGCAGTGTCCCATCTAGGTACTGACCAGACTTGACAATGCTTAACTTCGGTGATTGCATGAGAACTGATGATTCAATGTGATAATGGCCATAAACACTAACTTGCAAATCCAAGCTTACAGCACCTATTTTTGCTGAGTGGTCACCCATTTAGTTACTGACCAGGCACAATGTTACTTAACATCAGTGTTCACATTAGAACTGGTGTTTCAATGTGATAATGGTCGTCTTTCCTATATAACACACAAATCCAAGCTTACAGTACCTGGTTTTACCGAGCAGTCACCCATCTAGGTGCTGACCAGGCTTGACAATGCTTAACTTTGGTGATCGTACGGGAACCTGTGTTTTGATGTGATACGGCCGTAAGCCTTGTATATGTGGAGTATTTTTTCGTGGGTAGTGAAATGAAAAAAAAAATGGAGGATTATCATCATCATCAGCCTTCTGTTTTTTTCTCTTTTCTTTCTCATCATCTTTTCCCCTTCTGTCTGGATATTTTTAGGGCGACATTTGAGGAGTTTCGACCCTGTCTCCAATCAGTTAAGTGCCATATGCAATACACGCTAAGGTGATTCTGTCTCTTGATTTCATGACTGATTAGGTGGGTGATTTTCCTGCAGTAGTTTCTTTGTTTCCCTCTGTGGGAGATTGGTTGCCAACCAGGGTTCTAGGACCCAGCCTGTCTCGTTTTTCAACCCATAGCTGTGGGAGGGGAGATAGATTCTTACCTTTCTCAAGGGTATTAGTGCGCAAATGAATGTAACAAAAAAAATAGTAGACATGAATTCAAACTTTGCTCTCATTTCAAGCCTTTGTCCATTACACCATCCGCACATCAAATTCACAACTTTTTCTTTCTCTCTTTCTTTTTCCTCTTTCTTTTTCCTCTTTTGCTCTTTTTCGAATTTCTTTCTCTTTTCGGTCTTTTTTTGAATTTCTTTCTCTCTTTTGCTTTTTTCATTTTCTTTCTTGCTCTTTTTCCTTTTCTTTTTCTGCATTTTTTCTCTTCCTTTCCCTTCTTTGCTTTTTTTTCCTCTTTCTCCTTTTTTCCTCTTTCTTTCTCTTTTTCTTTCTTACTATTTTTCCTCTTTTTCTTTGCTCTTTTTCTTTCTTTTTTTGCTTTTTTCCTTTTCTCTTATTTGCCCATTTTTCATCTTTTTCTTTTTTCCTCTTTTTCCTTTTTCTTCCTTTTTTTGCTCTTTTTCTTTCTTTCTCTTTTCCTCTTTCTTTTTCTCTGCTCTTTTTCTTTGGTTTTTTCTTTTTCCTTTTTTGGCCTTTTTCCTTTTCTCTTATTTGCTTCTTTTTCCTTTTTCTTTCTTTTTTCCTCTTTTTTCTTCCTTTTTTCACTTTTTTCCCTCTTTCTTTCTCTTTTTTTGTTTTTGCTCTTTTTCTTTCTTTCTCTTTTCTTCTTTTTTTTTCTTTCTTTTTCTCTGCTCTTTTTCTTTGGTTTTTTCTTTTTCCTTTTTTTGTTCTTTTTCCTCTTTCTCTTTTTTGCTCTTTTTCCTTTTCTCTTATTTGCCCTTTTTCATCTTTTTCTTTTTTCCTCTTTTTCCTCTTTCTTTCTCTTTTTTGCTTTGGCTCTTTTTCTTTTTTCCCCTTTTCCTCTTTCTTTTTTGCTCTTTTTCTTCCTCTTTTCCTCTTTCTTTTTTGCTTTGGCTCTTTTTCTTTCTTTCTTTTTTCTCTTTCTTTTTCGCTCTTTTTCTTTTTTGCACTTCTCTTTTTCTTTGTTTTTTTTCCTCTTTTTCTATTTTTTGCTCTTGCTCTTTTTATTTTTGTTCTTGCACTTTTTCTTTTTTTGGTCTTACTCTTTTTCCTTTTTCTTTCTTTCTTTCTCTTTTTGTTTTCTTCTTTCTCTTTTTGATCTTTTTTCCCTTTTTTTTCTCTTGCTCTTTTCCTTTCCTTCTCTTTTTTGCTCTTTTCCTTCTTTCTTTCTCATTTTTCTTTCTTTCCCTTTTTTCTTCTTTTTCCTCTTTCTTTCTCTTTTCCTTATTCTTTGCTTTCTCTCTTTATTATGAATACGATGCCAAACAGAATACCTTACCATTGAATAGTAATTTCAGCACAGTCAGTCTAACTGTTCACTCAGTGAATGTTGAACGTTTCCTGCTTGGCTAATTACGCCATTATTATTAAGCTATGTACAATAGCATTTGTAAGAAAGATTCTAACAAAATCCGGTCGCTGTTCAAGTTACTTTTGAATTCAAAGTTGTCCGTCTCCTAAGCTGACTACACTAACAAGACTAAGGAGCCTAGTCTGCTCTGCTATTTAATCCACAGCTGGAGAAAGATGAAATTCATGCCTTTTCCAACGGCATTAACGTGAACAAAACAAGATCGGCTGGAATTTGAACTCGGTTCAGTGATTTCACTACCTCATCTCCTTTTTTGGTTGATCACATCGAAAAATTTTTTCACTGCTCGACTGTATAGTAAATTTTTTAAAAGCATGCCAAAATTTTTTGGTAAAAGTTTGTTACTGGTTCGTAAACTGACTTTATGATGTAGAAAGAATACCAGAGGGAAATAACATTGACTTATGTGGTGACTGCTTCTTCTCTTACTACCATATTAATGAACAAACGAAAGCAAACCTGACCATTGAAAACTAATAATTTATTTTTATAGTCAAGATTAGTTTTATGGTTGGGGTTAGCGTTGTAGTTATTGACAAAAAAATTAAACGATTTATGTTCATAATTATAAAATTAAAAAGATTATACTCTATTAACAATTTAGGTAAAGGGTTCCCAACCGTTTTTGTGTCACTGCCCACTTTCATATGGAAAAAAAATTCTCCACTCATCTGTATAGTAAATATTTAAAAGCACGCCAAAATTGTTTGGTAAAAGTTTGTTACTGGTTCGTAAACTGACTTTATGATGTAGTAAGAAATACTAGAGAGAGGTAACAAATAGTGCTAACCTATGCAGCAGTTTCTGTTACTACCTTATTTAAGAACAAATGAAACAAACTTGACCGTTTAAAATTCTATATACATAATTTAGTTTTATGGTCAAGGTTAATTATATGGTTAGGTTTAGTGATGTAAGAATTGACAAAAAATAATTTAAACAAATTTAATACTCAAAATTCGCCCACCGAATTTTCTAGTTGTCCACCATTTTCTCTTCAGTTCATCGCCCGCCCAACAATTGAAATTGCCCACCGGTGGGTGATATAACCCAAATTTGAAAACACTGCACTAATTGTAAATTAAAGTTAAAGTTAAGCGAATAATCGGACAAACGCCATGTAATCCATGGAAAAGGATTTGTACGTGGGTAGATTACAACGGCCAGTTGTGTGTTTATTGGAAGTTGAGGTTTTTTAAAAATACGTATGAAGCTGGATAAGCTCTGTGATGTGATTTTTGCACGGATTTGTACAAAAATTGATATTGATAAAAAAAAAAAAAAAAAAAGTGATAGCGGAAAGTGCTAAAAACCTATTTACTCCTATTCGGGGTAAGAAACGAGAAAAAAAAAGTGAATAAAATGTTTGCGTCCAGGAGGAGACATTAGAACTATAGATTTGGAAATAGACTGTAGAAGGAACCGGAAACACAGTCCCAGGCAGGAAAAAGTAAATAAATAGTAAATAAAATTACCGGGCCTAGCTCCGTAATTATGTCTTAGGGTAGAATTTGTTATGAAAATTGACAGTATCTATTGTTTTAATTTAGTATAAGTTCAAATATCCTTCATCAAAACATAATCGATCTGGGAATTAATATTACTTGAATTATTTTGTTTAAGCCTTTCACCCCAAGTAAGGCGGGAGTGCTACTAACACGCAAGGGGTTACAGAAAGTGGGAGCAAGAGTAAAGAGGCGTGATAGAGTAAAGAATGAAGAGAAGGACGGAGAATAGATCAAGTCATTTGGAGATGTCAATTGACATTGCATTTGAATATTTGGAGCTATATAGCTATCGGGGAATCAACTAAGGGGAACGGAGTTCCACAGACGGGAAGTGCAAGACATGAAGCTATTGAAGTAGAAGAGACGGCTTATATTTAACCGTTTCGACAATGAAAGGGTAGGACTGAAATATCGACCTTGTGGCGCGTTTAAATTCATGCAGTCTGGGAACTAGCGAAAATAGCTCGTCGGAGCAGTCACCGTGAAAGTATTTGTAGAAAATGGTGAGATATACCCAGTTGCGGACTGGCCGACCGTGGTACCAGGAAATTTCTCAGTGGGCCCCAAAGTAAGAAAAAAAAATATTGCGTAGTTGCTGGGAAGTTTCTTTGATGCTAAGATTTCTTTTGGTAGAGAATAAATATCTTCAGTTTTTTATTTGGTGAAGCTTTTTTTTTTCATTTTTAAATTTTGGTTTGATGATGAAGAATAAACTGATTTTGCAATGGTGGGGTGGAATTCAAGAAGATGAGAACATCAAGAAAGATACGAATGCCTGGAGAACTCCACAGGGATGATCCAGTGGATCGCTACAGGGATTATGGGTGTCTTTTTGACTGGGCACTTTTACAAGTTTTCCCGGTAGAAACTTTCGACCCAGACTGCCACTAGATATACCTACAAATAAGTCCAAATTTTGGTCAGACTATTTACTGTTTAGACCAGCTAAAAGAATTTACAAGCCAAAATATACCTATTTACAAATCATCATCATCATCATCATTCTCTATCTTCAATGATTATTTGCAATGATATATCATCAAGGCATCTAGAGATGTCAATTGACATTGCATTTGAATATTTGGAACTATATAACTATCAGGGAATCAACTAAGGGGAAGGGAGTTCCACAGACGGGAAAATGTCTGACATTTGTAATCGTAGGGGGGGATCCGAATGCAGAAGCCATTTTGAATCTCCTCCACAACGGTCTATCAACCGTAGCCATCATCAATTCTGGTATGGTCATGCCTGTCCATTGTTTGACATTGTCCAACCAGGTTTTGCGTTGGCGTCCTTTCCTACGTCCACCTTCAACGGTGTCATCCATGATGGTCTTTCACAGGCTTTTGTGCCTGGTAGTGTCCAAACTACGTAATTTTTGTCCGTTTGACAGCGGCGAGAAGAGGTTCCTGGTGGCTCACAAAACTTTCAACCCTTTTCTGCACAAACTCATTGTTTTTTTTGTCCCCAATAGAAAATGCCAAGGAGTTTTCTCATGCATTTGTCCTCAAACGCTTGGATCCTTTTCTCCGTTTCTGCCAAAAGTGCCCATGTTTCACATCCATTTAGGAGAATGGAGACTACCGGCGATTTGTACAGGTTGTACTTTGTTTGAAAACTGATTTTGCTCCACTGAGCTACAGGTAACATCTTTAGATAAGATTGCTCTCAAATAGATACACTTAAATAAATAAAAAAAAAGTACGGAATAAACAAAATAAAATTCCAAAGAAGAATCAGCAATATTATTGGTCATAATCTGGCTACTCGGCTTCAGGTACGTTCCCACCGGCGTAAGAGATCTTCATTATGGCAACTAGACTTTTTTTTTTTAAAATTTAAGCGCAGTAGTACAGAGGCGTCGAGATCTCATCAATTTAATGTTGAGTTGGCGCTAACAACAAATTCTATGCTAAAAGTTTCTTCTCTCGCACTTCACGATTATGAAGCAACCTTCCGGCTACAAGCTTACAAGCCAACCTTCATCAGGAAAAATTTAAATGCAATGTCAATCGCTATCTACTGTCATGATTACGCTTTCCTCTTCCTGCACATTATTATCGTTTCTGTTTGTGATTCTTCCACTAGTAACCCTTGTGTCTTAGTGGATTTAGTGTCTTGAATGAAGTGAGACCGATTAAAAAAGAAATCCAGAAATTAATATGCGAAAAATGATCGGTCTTATTCAGTGAACATCGTACTCATCACTAGACTTCTCTTCTTTTTCAACCAATCCCTTCCCATAAACGACATTTCCCTCTATCAATCCATTCCCATAAACGACATCATCCTCTATCAATCCCTTGCCATAAACGTCTTCTTCCTCTATCAATTCCTTCACATAAACGACTTCTTTCTCTATCAATCAAGTCATATAAACGTCTTCTTCCTCAGTCAATCATTTCCCATAAACGTCTTCTTATTCTATCAATCCCATCCCATAAACGACGTCTTCCTCTATCAATTCCTTCCTATAAATTACTTCTCCCTCTATCAATCCATTCCCATAAATTACGTCCTCCTCTATCAATCCCTTTCTATAGATGACGTCTTCATCTATCAATCCCTTCCCATAAACGACGTCTTCATCTATCAATCCCTTCCTATAAATGACTTCTCCCTCTATCAATCCATTCCCATAAATGACGTCCTCCTCTATCAATCACTTTCTATAGATGACGTCTTCATCTATCAATCCCTTCCCATAAACGACGTCTTCCTCTATCAATCCCTTCCTATAAATGACTTCTCCCTCTATCAATCCATTCCCATAAATGACGTCCTCCTCTATCAATCAATCTTTCTATAGATGACGTCTTCATCTATCAATCACTTCCTATAAACGACGTCTTCCTCATCAATCCTTCCTATAAATGACTTCTCTCTCTATCAATCCATTCCATAAATGACGTCCTCCTCTATAAATCCTTTCTATAGATGACGTCTTCATCTATCAATCACTTCCTATAAACGACGTCTTCCCCTATCAATCCCTTCCTATAAATGACTTCTCCCCTATCAATCCATTCCCATAAATGACGTCCTCCTCTATCAATCACTTTCTATAGATGACGTCTTCATCTATCAATCCTTCCCATAAACGACGTCTTCCTCTATCAATCACTTCCTATAAATGACTTCTCACTCTATCAATCCATTCCCATAAATGACGTCCTCCTCTATAAATCCCTTTCTATAGATGACGTCTTCATCTATCAATCACTTCCTATAAACGACGTCTTCCTCTATCAATCCCTTCCTATAAATGACTTCTCCCTCTATCAATCCATTCCCATAAATGATGTCCTCCTCTATCAATCACTTTCTATAGATGATGTCTTCATCTATCAATCCCTTCCCATAAACGACGTCTTCCTCTATCAATCCCTTCCTATAAATAACTTCTCCCTCTATCAATCCATTCCAATAAATGACGTCCTCCTCTATAAATCCCTTTCTATAGATGACGTCTTCATCTATCAATCCCTTCCCATAAACGACGTCTTCCTCTATCAATCCCTTCCTATAAATGACTTCTCCCTCTATCAATCCATTCCCATAAATGACGTCCTCCTCTATCAATCACTTTCTATAGATGACGTCTTCATCTATCAATCCCTTCCCATAAACGACGTCTTCCTCTATCAATCACTTCCTATAAATGACTTCTCACTCTATCAATCCATTCCCATAAATGACGTCCTCCCCTATCAATCCCTTTCTATAGATGACGTCTTCATCTATCAATCCCTTCCCATAAACGGCGTCTTCATCTATCAATCCATTCCTATAAATGACTTCTCCCTCTATCAATCCATTCCCATAAATGACGTCCTCCCCTATCAATCCCTTTCTATAGATGACGTCTTCATCTATCAATCACTTCCTATAAATGACTTCTCCCTCTATCAATCCATTCCCATAAATGACGTTCTCCTCTATCAATCCCTTTCTATAGATGACGTCTTCATCTATCAATCCCTTCCCATAAACGGCGTCTTCCTCTATCAATCCCTTCCTATAAATGACTTCTCCCTATATCAATCCATTCCCATAAATGGCGTCCTCCTCTATCAATCCCTTTCTATAGATGACGTCTTCATCTATCAATCCCTTCCCATAAACGACGTCTTCCTCTATCAATCCCTTCCTATAAATGACTTCTCCCTCTATCAATCCATTCCCATAAATGACGTCCTCCCCTATCAATCCCTTTCTATAGATGACGTCTTCATCTATCAATCACTTCCTATAAATGACTTTTCCCTCTATCAATCCATTCCCATAAACGATTTCTTCCTCTATCAATCCCTTATAAACGACTCTTTCTGTCAATCCATTGCCATAAAAGACATCTTCCTCTATCAACCCATTCTTATATACGAGGACTTCTTCTATCAATACCTCCCAATAAACGACTTCTTCTTCTATCAATC